TAGGAAGAGATAGATTGCTTCAATGCTTATCATGGCCGCAGGGCTAAAAGCCGGTGTTATAATGTGATCGAGAGTAGTATAGATATTATTGAAAATATCCTGCGTATAAACCTCTTCAAACAAAAACTATTATAGACATCTATCTCATTCGTTTTATTTGTATACGTCAGGAAGATGTGCGTGAAGCCAAGCTCAGACAATATGAGTTGGACAATACATGGGTATGTGGAAATACCCGTACCATTAAGCAGCATATAATAATAATAATAATAATAATAATAATAATAATAATAATAATAATAATAATAATAATAATAATATAATAATCTTTTATAGTCCATATTTTGTAATCTTTTATTAAGTTAAACCGAAAATGGAAATTCTTTTTGCCCAATTGATCGTGAGCCCGGCAGCCACTGAGCAGCGCCAGATCGACATTGCTCTATCCCTTATTGTTGAACGCCAAACAAGGTCTTTTAACGTCTTTTGATATGACGCGGCCGGGGTTCGAACCCTCGACCTCCCGGTTGTGATGCGGACGCTCTACTGACTTAGCCAACACAGGTACATGGACAGGGGCAGGGGCGGCGATCCTGGGCCCGATAGGGGGACACGTCGCCCTGGAAATTTAAAAATACAGCTAGAAAGACATATAGCGGAAAGAATTATTGGGCTTAGGGATTTTCTAGAATGCATAATTTCAGCATTCAACATTGCAAAATCTCGCTTGGTCGCTACGCCCCGGCCCTCGCCCGATAACACAAAACTATTAAATGATATGATATGATATGACGCTCCCGGCCGTGATTTATCCATGGTTGGTGTAATAGATATTTTTTTCCTTTCGTTTCTACTAACCTAATTGTGTGCTATCACAATCATGATTGCTTCATGTTCCCTTTAAAGCAGGCGTGTAGCCAAGGGCGGTAGGGGCAGTAAGAGGACATAAGACAAAAAAGGAGCAGACAAAGAAATATTTTTGAAAATTCCGAAAACGGTACAACGAATCGTCTTATTTCTCTAATAATTTAATGACACGTTAAGCTTCTGTGCTTAGCGCGGGAGGGGGAGGGGACTGAATTCAGTGAAGGATTAAAGGCAGGCTTTACTACTTCAGCCAGAAGGGGTTAGACCACCAAGCGAGCCAGCAAGGTCACTGTGACAGGTGGCTATCTCATTAACTCAGCTCTCATTTAACGTAAGAAAAAGAGGATCATGGGGGAACAAAAGACACCGATTGGGGAAGTTTTCTATATAGAGGGAGCAGGTAGCTACAAGTAGGACAGTCGAGAATGGAACAACCAATCATCTTCTTCCTCTAACAATATCATTAAACTATGGAAAGTTAAAGCTTCCGCGCTTCGCGCGGGAAGGGGGGGGGAGGAACTGAATTCAGACAAGGATCGAGATTCGAGAATGGTACAACGAATCCTCTCCTTTCTCTAATAATTTAATGAAACGTCAAAGCTGCCGCGCTTCGCGCGGGAAGGGGAAAGACTGAATTCAAACAAGGATTAAGAGTCGAGAATGGTACAACGAATGGTCTTCTTTCTCTCATAATTTAATAAAGCGTCCGAAAATTACGCGCTACGGGCGGGCGGGGAAAAACTGAATTCAGACAAGGATTATTTTAGAGTCGAGAATATAACGAATCATCTTCTTTCTCTAATAATTTAATAAAACTTTTGTCATGAAAGAGGCTTTAGCCCCTCCCCCCCCCCCCCCCCCGATGAAAATGTCAAAAATTGTACCGGTATGGTGCTTCTGATATGACCTTGTCAGTATTGGTATGTTGAGTTGTAAAAATGGTCTGCACACTTTCCAAATTTCCGGCCCCCCCTATTGGAAAATCCTGGATCCGCGCCTGCACACCACACACCATCATCATTCCAACAGGCTCGGTCGGTCCCACACAAGAAGAAGAAAACCGTCTTTGATGCGTGGAATGGTTACCATAGCGTGTCATTCTGCAGAGAGGACCGTCACCTGACCACCTTCATTACCCCCTGGGGCAGATACCGCTACAAGACGGCCCCTCAAGGATACATTGCCTACGGTGATGGATACACTTGACGTTATGATGAGATCGTCTCGGACATTCACAACAATGCTATGGGCGGACACATTGGCGGGTAGCTACTTCAAAGCTGTCGAGTAGCTGGATGTCTGCGGTCGGAATGGCGTTACCCTCGACCCTGACAAGTTAGTGCTGGGTGCAGATGTTGTCCATGCAAGAAATACTTACACGGCCGTCAGATGGTAAAACGGTCTAACTCGAAAATCGCTGTTCTGAGAAAAATGACTTTGAGTTTACAGGTTTCAGCTTTTTTAGGAGATGGGTATAATCCATTTTTAGCAATGGGACAAGAAGAAGCATATTAAACACTGATAACTGAAGAATTTTGTACTTATTTAGGGTTTTAATTATAAAATAAATGAGATTTTTGTGCAGATAGACTGTTTAACCACATCACATGATGCACTCCCACTACACATAAAATGGTAAAATGGTCTATCTTCTAGAAACAACATAAACACTATTGCCATACTACTTACTCGAATATAGACCATCTTACCATCTGGCAACGATGATTAAAAAATCTCAATTCAGAAGGTTAAAAGGTTTATGTAAAAGATAGCTCGTTTTACCCCCAAACGATATTACCGGCAATGGGCTAACTCAGAGATAGACCGTTTTACCATAAAATCTGAAGGAAAAATACAAAAAAGTACCAAGATAGCGGAAATTATCTCTAAAAGAAGACATGATGGGATTTTCTCGATAGCACCATTGGAAATAGCGCCCTCACATTACCCGGAAAGTGAATTTACCTCAAAAAGTCAAAATTTCGAGTTAGACCGTTTTACCATCTGACGGCCGTACAGGCCATCCTGGACTTCCCGACACCAAAGAACATCACCGACGTGCGCTCTTGGTTCGGGCTTTTCAATCAAGTGTCCTATGCCTTCAGTATGACTGCAAAGATGCTGTCGTTCCGCCAGCTCCTGAAGCCTGCCACAACCTTCACATGAGATGAGGCCCTCCAGAGTGCCTTTGATGAATCCAAAGCCATCATCGCCAATGAAATCGAGGAGGGTGTGAGGATCTTTGACCAGAGCAAGCCCACTTGCCTGGCTACAGATTGGTCGAAGCATGGCATTGGCTTCTGGCTTCTCCAGAAACACTGCACCTGCAATTCCTCGGAACCATTGTGTTGTCACACGTGATGGAAAATCACGCTTTTAGGCAGCAGGTTCACGCACGCCGCTGAATCACTCGATGCTCTGATCGAAGGCGAGGCCCTCGCCGTGGCTGATGCCCTAGACAAGGCCAGATACTTTGTACTTGGATAAGGACCTCATCCTTGTTGTCGACCACAAGCCCCTTTTGAAGATCCTCACTGACCGCTCACTAGCAGACATCCCCAACCCTCGTCTAAGGAACTTGAAAGAGAAGACCCTACATTACAGGTTCCGGATCGTCCATGTCCCAGGTGTCCGACACCGTGCAATAAACTACCTCTCACTGGTGCGCCTCTGAAGCTACACCTGCCAGACGATGTCGCGACCATTGGTCCTCGCCATCAACTTGACAGAACCCCTGACACTCATGGCTGGCTTTCGCGATGACACGGATGCTGACGCCATCGAAGCAGCTATCCTCTCGTCTTTCGTGTCCTCCCTGGACTCTCTTCGCCCATCTGTGGTTGTTCACCTTCCCAGCCCCCCCCCCCCCCCCCAGACGGGCAACTGCTCCTCCTAGGCGATCTACACGTCGCACAACCAAACCCGCCTGGCACTCAGACTATGACATGTGGCATTGACACTCGAACAATTTGCCTCATGTCTTAGATTTTAAAATGACATTTGGCTATTGCATTTATCGTTTTGGTAGTTTTTGATGACCTTCCTTCATGCGTTAGGTTTCGTTTTAGGCTGGTTCGCGTTCACGTTTATTGTTCTTACATTTTATACTTGTCGTTGATCATTGGGTCATATTTTAAGTCTTTGGCGCACTGTTAGACTTTCGTTTCTTTTTGCACCAAAGACTTGGGGAGAGGATTATGTTATATTTTTATCTTAATTAAGGGTATCTTCTTTTATCTTATTTGTTTATAGACCGTGATCATTGTTGAGAGTCTACTGATCGACCGACACAAATAGCCAGATCCTATTTATATCCCAATTTAGAAAGGTTACAAATCGGATTTATCACGAGCCATTATGCGCTAGCTATTCAAGAGAGAAGCCGGGGCTCTAGCTCCCCATGAATGATTCTAAGCGATGCAAGATTGCCTACGCCCCTATAACACGCCCCCTTCCAAAACCGAGCCTGTGACAAATACAATCTAAAATATGGGGGGGGGGGGGGCAAAGTTATTAACAAAAAATAGTCTCTGACAACCAACCGCCACAAAAGTTATTACATTTTTCAGGTGCCATCTAGGACACACAAATTGTGTCGAGGATGGAGTACACGAACACAATTCGTGCAAACATTTTATTCCTTTGAGCTGTAAAAACGGTATTCCAGTTTGGATTTTTGGGGGTGGGTCATGACCCGTGCCAATTCCTGGATCCGCCGAAGCTTAAGCTATACGAATTACTAATCTTTTGTGGTATATTTGTATTAATAAATAATAGTTTACTTTAATCGATATGTGTAATTAAGACGTGATCAAAAGACTAATAAATGTTTCTACTATCAATATATATTTTTGTTATTTTGTTGTTGTTACGTATTGCAATATTTCACTCTATAGTAATTTGTTAACTGCTTTTCATTGGATTTTAATTGTATTGTGTAAACAGAGCTCCCTTACAGAGCAGTTTTATGTACTAAAGAGATTACCCTGTGTAATTAACACAGAATAACAAAAATGAATAAATATATATTGACTTTTAAGTACTTTTTTGTTTTAATTCTTCATATTCACCTAAAAACTACTTCCCAAAATCCTTTTTCCCCCTTCTTTATCTTTTTTTTTTTTTGGTTCAAGCTGACGGGAGAAAGCCTGACATCAACAAACCGGTGAATGCAAACGCCCAGTATGGAGCGGTGATGAAGACACAGTATGGCGATCACCGTATCATTCTCAGCACAGAAGTTCAGGCAGAACGAAAGGACTCGAATAAGGCACCTCCAGAAAACTATGTGTGCATCAAAACCATAAAGGATGATCTCGTAGGGAAACCCCTGACAAATTTCAACAGGTGACAAAATAATGCTCTTGCTACATGTATCCTAACTCTCTGTATATAATTGTATTTCGTGTCCATGTATCCTTCCCCCACCCCTCTCTCTCTCTCTCTCTCTCTCTCCTTCTCTCGCTTGCTCGCTCCCCCTCACTCCCTATCTCTCTCTCTCTCTCTCACTCTCACTCTCCATCCCTCTCTTTTTCCTCCCTCCTTCTTTCCCTCATTCCGTTTCTCCACCCCACCCTCTCCCTCTCTCATGCTTTAATACATGGCTCTCTCTGAACATTTCTTGGTCTATTAATAAATAATTCCTTCCCATTTCTTTCCTCGAAAACAAGTTGAATGGTGGAGGTATATTTTACATTTCTTTACATTGTACTACACAACGACATATTCTAGGAATTAAATGAAGAATGTGACGTGCAAAACTTTCCTATTTACCAACTGGAATGTGGTAAACTATTCTCAAAGTTAGGTTAACAGGTTTGTCTTTTTAAATAGCAAATTAAGTACATTCATAATCGAATCGATCATTATGATCAACATGGCAAATACTTAGCTTGTATAAGTCACGATTATACAGAAATTGATAGGTATATAGGAGCGTAGCATCCCCAGGCGATGGGTTAATTTCGCAGTTTCACGTTGTGGTGACACAGTCCTGGTCCTTTAATAATAGAAGAGGGAGTGGGTTACATCCAGGTTCACCGTATGCTGGACACGTCAGTGAATTTTCCTTTGTCTTCATGCAGGTACAAGACGTTACAGTGGTGGTCGCAGGCCTACATGGCTGGCATCCCTGAAGTGATATGCGGTAGGAGAGATGATAGAAAGCATATCATAACATCAGTCGAAACCATGAAGACCAATCAGCTGTCTTCAAAATCAGAGGTAAGGCTTCTCATCTTTCCTCTTTTTCCTCTTCTTTACATTTCCGCCTCCATTTATTGGCAATCCAGGCCCGTTACCAAAGGGGTACGGGGGATGCCGTGTGCAACCCTGCTAGGGACAAGAGGTCCGCCGAAAAGAAGGGGAAGGGGGAGGATGCTCAGATATAGGTTTAGGAAACAATGCAAACATGCAAACAACATAGCTAGAACAAATTTATTAGTAAAATTTGATTTTTAGACAGAAGATGCAAAAACTCTACCTAACCTGTGGGGGACCATAGGAAAGGTGCCCCCCCCCCCTTTGACTTCATAAAAGTGCTCCTTGTTCTGTCCACTAGGTGCTCCTTGCCATCACTGACAATTGACCCAATTCAGATCTGAGAGGTGCCTCTCTTACTTTGACAAATGCCCCTTTCCTTTGTAAGAAGATCTAATTTACCCTTCTATATAAGTGCCCCTTTTCACCTCCGATAATTGTCCTTTTATTTTGACACCTACACCTTTTCTTTTCTAATAAGTGTCCCTTTTCATTGTTATAACTGCCATCATTTTTTTTTAAAGACCCCTTTTCTATTCTAATATGTGCCCATTTTCACCTCTGATTAGTGTCCCTTTCAAAATCTGATAGGTACCCCTTTTTTTCATTCTCATAAGGGCCCCATTTTCATCTCTGGTGAGTGCCCCTTTTCAGGTGCGAGGATTGCCACCAGTTTAATCTCTGATAACTGCCATTTCTGCTTGGACAATTGCTTTTTTTCTTTTCTTATAAGTATCCTTTCCCTTCTGATAAGTGCCCGCTTTTCCTTTCACAATAACATTATGTCCCCATATTAAAGCGATTAAGAGCAACCTTTTCTTTAATATCCCTAAAGCTTGGAGTCGTGATTTTAACCTTGCCCGCCTACCGGTCAATATTTTTTTTTTTTTAAAGATGCCCATTGCCCGCCTACCGGTCAATAGTTTTTTAAAAGATGCCCGTTGCCCCGCATAAATACATTTTGCTGAGATCCCCATAGGTTTACGTGTAAAAAAATCATCGTAACATTCAGCCTTTTTCAGGCAATAAACCGGGTATGATTCGACAATTTTTATCCGGCGACATTTCGTCCAAGTTTTATCTTTATTTCGTTAAATCTATATGTTTTTGGTTTGGGTTAGGATTAAGTATAGAAGTAGATCTGTAGTGTTGGGTCGATGATTTAACGTAGGAATTCAACCTTTGTTTGAGCAATTAGGGTAGCCAAGGAACAAAGTTATGCTCTATCCTCCCCTTCATCTGTTTCACATAAGTTACTCATCAAAATGCCGACGACATACAAGCGACTTCATTCCAAATAATACTGCCACCATCTGGGGTGTAGCCCTTTACTGGTTTCTCAAATTTTGCTGCATCCACCAAAAATGCCACATTATGTGTGGTTTTTAACTGAGTATCTAAAGAAATGCGAATGCTTTGGAATAAATCTTCAGCCCAAATATAGGTAGATGAAGCACACGCTGATTCGGACATGTCTCGCGACTGTAGTTAGCTTTCTATGGGTTACCATGGTTACCGGGTAGTTACGGACGCCATCACCGTCAATTCGGTTAGAAACTCTCCCGTGTGAGAGTGAGCAAGATGAAATGGCCATATGTTTAAAAATATACATATATTTTATTGTGATATTGTATACATCGAATCGATGTACTCGTTTTAATTACCTATTCGTTTTGTTTGTAGGGATATTGGGACCCCAGACTGTGTCAGAAGAAGTTTGAGTCTTACCTCTCAGAAATCAAGAAACTGGTTAAAGATGATGATCCACGGTACGCATACATCATCCATCACTATTTACATCTTGGACTTAAGTTGAAATTCAAATCTTGACATGGGCATTACTTTAATTTTTGGAGCAGAATAAAGAAGTACTTTGCTACTGCATTCGCAGTAACACTACTAAAACATTTGTATTATTTTATTACATTTGTGTTTTTTTAATATTTCGAAGACCCTTGAGCATTACGTATTAATATTTACACTTTGATATCAAATTAATAACGAGCTACCTATTTATGCAGCATTTCACAATGTTGGAGAATAGTAATGTGAACGAGAGCCATTTTAATATAATTTGTTAATTTTTACAAGCCCACTTGCCTGGCTACAGATTGGTCGAAACATGGCATTGGCTTCTGGCTTCTCCAGAAACACTGCAAATTAATAACCAGCTACCCATTTGTATTAATTGATAACAATTTGTTATTTCTGATATTTTAAAGACCCTTGAGCTTAACTTTTTAAATATTTATACTTTGAAGTCAAATTAATAACCAGCTACCCATTTCTACAGCATTTCACGATGATGGAGAATATTAATATGAATGAAAGCCATTTTAATATAATTTGTGAACAGATATTACCTAGAAAAAAAAAAGTTGTGGAAAAGGTTTCTGAACATTTCCATATTGTTCACCTTCAGCTACTATATGCAAAGAAATACGTTTTCGGGCGCTTGCAATTATGCATCTACAGTATGTTGCTATATTTATAAAAATCAAAGACAAGTCTGAGAAAATAAATTGGGTAATTTTAACACATTATTGCTATTTGGTTTATCTTAATATCAGTCTGACAACATACTTCCAAACAATTTAGCACTATAAACTCTTTTGCCTTTGAATCGAAATCAAATTCACAAGTCAGTGCATATATCGGAATTGACTTAAGTATTGAGTCATTTCACCACACCTTTCCACATGAAGATTTCGAGTTAGTTAGACAATGAACATTTTCTCTCTTATACAGTGCCGTATATCGTCTTAAGTTGCCTGAGATCGAGAGGGGACGAGGTTTAAAGGACAAACTACGATCCAGAAGATTCCTTCTTCTTGGACGAAAAGAAGATGATTACGTCATCCTTCCAGATCGATATCTTAAAGATGTTTTGGGCCTGAAGGAGTACTAGCAGACAAAACAAAATGGCCGCCATCATGTCTGTAGCCATGGTCAGTGTTACAATTATACTGACCAATGCTCGACAAATATATTTCAAGTGTCATTTTAATGTGCGAAATCAGATGACAACAATAGTAAATAATGTTAATGATAATTATAAGAATGGTAACAATATTGACTTGCATTTCCTGATGCACAGACAAATTAGGAATAGAGGGTTAGTTGTTAGGTCTTATACAATAATTGTATATGTTTTATGAAGGTATATGTGCTGATTTTAATATCAATATAGAGGAATAAAGCCGGAGAAACTCTTGTTTTTTGAGCACCTTTATATGCTTGGTTTTATGGGGATATCAATCATCTACTTTACTTATATTTTTTATATAAACTCTTGACTTTATGATATGTTAGGAAAACTATGCTCTTCGCTTCATTTGTTTTTATAATAATGATTTTATCGCTCTTGAAGGGTGTGAATATTCCTTTTGTATAATATATGCATAGATCGGTGTAGATTCACAAGACAAAGTACAACTCATTTGCATTCTAAAAAAATATATTTCATTACTTATTTCTATCAGAAATGGGAGAACAATAATGTTAACGAATTGCCTTTTTTGTTTTTTATAGCTAATGCAAATGCTGAAGTAAAAATAACCTTTGCGATTATTGGAATAAATCATATCATTGCGAAGGTTTATCTGTGACTTACGAAACGAGGATGGAGGATTTTATATATCTTTTCAAACCTTAAAGCTTACATGACATGTGAGGCATACAGTCCACTTGACCGAAGGCCCGTGAGACCGAAAAACATAATAATGTGCGCAGTTATACGACATACAGTACCATGTGCTTGTGCACACACATTTGGCTTTTGGTTGACACGTTTGTTAGTGTATAGCTTAGTGCTTATGATCCCTTCATCTAATTGTTATTATATCTTACCGGACCCTATGCATATTAAGTTTTATGGTGCATTTTATTGAATGATTAGGGCTGGTAAATTTGGAGCAAAGTAAGATGAAAAAATGAATTACTCACTTTCTTTTATGATAAAAATCACACCATCATTAATTTAATAGGTCATTTCATTATGATGAGGAGTTGATAATTAGAATTTTAAAATGTACCCAGAAGAATGTGAGGGAAAAAAAAATCAATATACCGCCCGTACAGGCGCGTACGCAAGATATCAATTGTTTTTTTTAATTAAAAAATTGTGCTAAAGGGTGACAAAAAAGTGACCTTACCCCCCCCCCCCCCCCCCCCCCCCATCTACTGAACGAAATATCGGTCGGCATAATTTTCCAATTTCTGGGACAAAAAAAAAATGTGCTCTTAGTTTGATAGTCGAATATTGAAATTAAATGGTATTCGCATTATTTAAATAGTTCGCAACAGGTCTAACAGGTTGTTTCATCAACTAGATGTAATTAATGTAAAACAATAATACAACACATAAAGATAACAAGTTAAAAAAAAACACGATATCAGTAGAAAAACAAATTTGTAAAAAAAAGAAAAATAGAAAGACAACAAATGCAGTACTAATGACCCCCAAAAGGGGGAAAATCTCAAATATGCTCCAAAAATTCACAAGTCAAAGTGATTCAATTGAATGGACTATAGTATTAGTCCATGTATTACATAAACGACTAATATTGGCAATTAAAGTGAAATTTCGATTTGTTTTGAAAATCGAACAGGTGCGCAATTCGATGGGGGCTATAATTACGATCAAGTGTATATCTCCAAAATTAATTGAAAATTTCCCATAAAGTAATCATATCTTCTTCTATCAATCGTAAATTTACGATTATTAGTAACTTACTATCATTTTTATGTTACAGATAGATACAATTAATTAATTAAGTGCAGTAAGATTGAAGATGATAAAATGTAATGATTATTAGTAAGTCACCAATTATATTTATGTTACATAGCCATTACTACATAGAGTCCAAACAGTCGACCATTGGGTCATCGTTTCATCAGAACAATGATACTACAATAAATATTGCCATCTTTGGACCGATTCTCTTGTCACATATTTGTTTAGTCCCGTTTACCTAATTCCCCAGTCTGTATATATTTGACTAGTTATACCGCTACCTTTTTATACAATATAATCTCTTTCATCGTAATGTTTCTTGTTGCTGCTAATTTGTGTCTAGGCATAGGGTAAATGTGTTTAAAGCAATATAGTGAGGCAAATTAAAAGTTTAGAATTAAATTAATGTGGAAAACGCGGTAAATGCTTAACGGTTTCAATCCATTTCAGAAATATAGCCATGCTAACTAAATGATATAATCACGCGTGTCGGTTCATTTGTAAAGATATTTTAAGGACTAGAGACTAGTGAGATATTATTGCTGTTAAATTTAATGGTTTGTCCATCGTCGTTGGATGATTTTCGCCATGAAGAGAGAGAAGGGAGAGAGAAAGAATGGGAGAGAAGGGGAGTAGAGAGGTGGGAAAGGGAGAGGGAAGATTATGAGAGGAAAACAGAGACTGTGAGAGAGAGAGAGAGAGAGAGAGAGAGAGAGAGAGAGGGGGGAGAGAGAGGGAGAGCGAGAGAGGGGGGAGGGGAGGAGATTTATTGGGAGTAGAAAGGAATAATTTTGCAGGAAGGTTAGTGGTAAAGACCACGAGAGAAGATAAAGTGACTGATTGAAGGACAAATGAAAATAAACAAATAGAAAGTTTTTCTTATATTTCTTCTTCTTTTGTTCGTATTACAATTCACAAATTTAGATATGCATATTTGAATATTGTATATTAGACTCTTGGAAAGATCTACTAAAATCCTTATTTTTCATGAATATAAACTAACACTTCATTACGAACCATTGGAGTTACCAACCTTCCTTTCGGAAGTATAACCCTCTGAAAAACGACATTTTAATTGAAACGGGTACAGTCATTATGTCAATTTCTGACAAATGGAACAAAATAATTACGGACCCAATTACTTGGTCAAAGAAGATTTGCTCCCCCCCCCCCCTTCTCTCTCTCTCTCTCTCTCTCTCCCTCTCTCCCTCTCTCTCCTTCTCTCTCTCTCTCTCTCTCTTTCGCTCTCTCTCTCTCTCTTTTTTTCTTCTCTCTCTCTCTCTCTCTTTTCTCATGCCTTCTCTCCAACCATGGCAACTCTCTTCCTTATTTTTCGAACTCTAGAACTTTATTCTTTTGTCGGCTAATGCTACTTACCGAAAGGTATATACGGTGATATTTCATTTTTAATTGACATCTGTATTTAAGTCTCATTTTGATATTTGCAATGTACCATTATTGATTGGGGGATGTACATTTAAAGTGCAATTTAGTGTCTGATTCCTATAGCAAGACATTAATCTGGCCATCGTTCTATATAGCTTATAATGGTAAAGTAGGGGTCTTGTAAGCAATTAAAACTGAAGACATACGCCGTAAAAACTAAATGAACAACAACAAAATTGGTGTATCTTTTTTATCATTGCCAAATGAAAAAATAAGGTAGCAATCTGCATATATATTACGTGGTAATAATGAAATATTAATTTGGTTTATTTCGAGAAAGGACGTAGACCTATTTATAGGAGACGGTTCCTACTCACCCATTAAAGGAGCTGACGATAACCAAGAGTACATGTAAACAATACAAACAAAAACACGAGTAGGTATATAAATTGTTGTTGTTGTTGTTTTAGTTTATAGGCGTTTGTCATTCAGAAGTAAATATTTACGCCTCTTCTCTTAGGATTTTTTTCCTCTTTAAAATTAGATTTACTTTTTTCAATGTATAGATTTGGATAAATTGGATTTTTAAAAGTTAAACTGTTTATGTTGAAGAATTCAGTGGCTGGCGAGCAAAAGGCCTTTCAGCTATATTGGATGCCCAAGGACCAGCTCGGACATGGTACGTAACGTTGTGACAAGCTTCTCAACTCAGCGTAATGCTGAGCCTAGACCCTCCGACGCCCACCAATAAGTCTAGTCGTCTCCACCGCGTTTCTTCAAAATTTTGTCCGAAAACCAATAAAAAACAGATCATATACATGAAGTTTCTAAACGTTAATATAGGCAGTTCTCTCTTTTAATTCTGTTTTCTCTCTCTTCTTCTTCTTCATGTATCACTCACTATAAAAAAAAAGCGAAACATCTTGGGCTCAAATAATTATGTGCGGTGCAAGGTGGTTAGTAGGGGTACAGGTGTACGAGAAAGAAATGGTTAACTGTTTCTTTTTCGTGCTCACAGTTTGAACAATGACCAGTCTCATGTTGATTCAACTCAAATAGATTTTCATTTAAGAAAGCACACGTGCTTTGACTAGTCTCAATAACAACCACTTGTATTTTATTTTCATGTGGTAAAATATAGCGATAATGCGAAAAGAGTCACGTCGCGTACTCGCAAAGGCGTGAGTATTGGTGATTTACCGGCTTGTAAAAAAACGAGGAATCAACCCTACACTTCGTAGGTGAGATAGCTTGTATCTATCTTGTAACGCCCCCAAAACGTGATAACCTGAGTGATCGGCACAAGCCCATCTAACCGTTTATATAATTCACCCATGCGCACAAGTTGGTTATCAGACGTTGACCTTGCCACCCTGAGCTGAGAAGGTGCTCAGATCTTTATTTCCAGGATTTCTTGGAACTCGTTTCTTTCACCTGGGTCAAGAGTGGCAATGGTAGAAGATTTCAGGCAAAATGTTTTTCCCCTTTATATTTCAATCAATATTGAATGAACAAATGAAATGTTTTGACTAATCACACAATAAAAAACAGGTGTGAAAAGCGTTTGTGAAAAAGGTTTAAATAAAAGGACAAGACAAAATTGTCTCTCCTTTAAACAAAAGCCACACACACACAAAAACTAAACAAAAGCGGGTGATGTGAATAGGCCTTGCCCTAAATTTTTCATGCAGGGAAAGGAGGGGATATTTCACTTGGTTCTTGTTTGTTTGTTCTTTGTTGTGTCAGTGTTTATATTTTTGTGTGTCTGAATTCTTTCGATTTACTTTTGGGGGTGCTCCTTGCCTAATTACACACACGGAGAGGTTGGCACACGTTTATTGCCACACGCAAAACCTACAGGCATTGAATGATAGATGAGGTAATATTACTATGTTAAAATGATTAAAAGGCAGAACTACAACGCATGCGTGAACAAATAGGTTTGTCTTGTGTTTTCTTTCATAGCATAATCAGTGATAGACCAATAAGGTGAGGGCGATCGATTTTCTCGCTCAGATGCTCGTTCTCGTTCTCGTGGGGTTTCCCTCAACTCACCATTCTTCAGGTAAGCATTGGTAGGATAAAGACGACGAACTCACTCCGTACTTTTAAGCAACAAGTACAATGTCATCATGTGTCTGCTTTGGTGTTTGGTTATTGTTAGTTTTCGGAGGATCGGTAGTCGAGACCAAGACGCCCCTGTACATAGCGGGTCTCTTTCCGCTCTCTCCTGGGGGCTGGATTGAAAACTATGGCAACCAATCTCTTATATCAGTCTCCATGGCCATTGATCTCATCAACAACCGATCCGACATCCTACCCGATCACGACCTCGTGCTTGTCTACAATGATTCTAAGGTATGTTACGTACATAATATTTCTCAACTATTTCCTATCGTACAAACTGGTAATGGTCTTTAAAAACATATTAGAAGAATATTTTAATGGCTTGAAATGATATACAGTAAAGCCATTTTCTTATTGATTTCGTGTCGTTAATAGTGAAAGAAAAGTTTATCTAGCTTTTTGAGTGTGTCACTTCAATTTTCTCATGAGAGAGGAGTAGACTATTCGAATTAGGGCAAGCTGGACAATAGCATAAACATGTGAATATGAGAAAAAAATTGTAAAATTATTTATCATCTACAGGGCTATTACCACATTTTCCTTTTTCATTAAACACTACTTATTACACATATTTCAAACTGTTTGTTGATAAAAGAACGTCGTTCATAGAGGCGTCACTTCTATCTCCTGAGAGTTAATTTGCGTGATGATGAACAGAGCACACTGTTTCCATCACGTCGAGACAATTATTATACTCCTTTTCATGAAAGAATACTGTAGTCAGAAAATCTTTTCAGAACTACTCTACAAAGGAATAACAGTTCTTTTCAGAACTTCATTCTCCAATCTCACTCTTTACCTGTTATCTGCTCACAAACTTCTCAATCTCGATCATTCCTTCTTTTCCTTTTCTTCCCTCCTTCTATTTCATCTCATTTTTTTGTCGACACTATATCGAAAACGAAAAAAAAATAGTCTCGTGTTATTGTTTAATAAAACGCCATTTCATTATAATATCTTCCTTTCTTTCTCCAGGTTCTTCTGAATTGAATTGAATTGAATTTATTTATTCACCACCATTGAAAACATTGAAACAAAAGATAAATGTACAATGACAATGACAATGTCAATATAACATAAATGCATGACATGAATTATAAAAAAAATACATGTTCTACAGCAATATACATGTACATTATGACAAAGATAAAGTAAACTTTGCTTCAAGAGTAAAACAATAAATGACTATTTACAATGAGTTTGTGATCGATGGTAAAATAGAGTCAAAAATAGCACATGTGCTAGTCGAGTCTGACTCTCGTTATCTAAAGCCTAAAATAAAGTTAATTTAAAAATATATGATGGGTTTCCAAATCTTATAAATAATTTTGTGTATAATATTAAAATGAGACTGGTTACTATATACAACTATATAGTTACGAGGTTATGATTCGTGGTTTTCACTTAAGAGTAATTTTGTAAGTTTTTTACGAAAGTTTCTGACGATATATCGTCAACATCCTATTTAGTAAAGCTACCACATTTTTTTCTTCACATAATATGGCAGCTCTTTCTTTTTTATTTTTCATTGAATCTCTGGTCGGCGAAGTTAAAGATATAAGAACTCTTATCATTATTCATTTCGGCGATTCAATATTTGTTTTCTGTGAGGTCTTGACAACATTTCTGGCCTACTCAACCATGCACTTTATGGTAAATGGTGGCAAATTGTTACGTTGTCATTATGTCTAATATACCACAAAGAAACATTGCTCATCCGTGTCGGATATATACTAAAAATTTCTGCAAGGCAAGGGGCGAGGGAAAAATTTCTGACCCCCAAAACAACACCATCACAAACAAAATATTCTGATGTCATTTTTAGGTGTGCTCATGCCTAGGTCACATTTGCCGCGGCGGCCGTGCGGTCTAAACTATCTACGGCCAATATCAATTATAGGATCACCGCGGCTACGGTAGCGGTCACATAATGTTAGGGTAGCCGCACGGCATATTTTGAATTTGTGGAGACAAAAAAATCTGCGACTGCCGTACGGCCTTTGAAGTGATGACGCACGATCGCCTTAGGGCGTCCCTGCGGCGGCCGTAGCGTTTTGACAAATACTAAGGCAGACGCAAGGTAGCCGCAATGTGCCCGTGAGGCGGCCGAAGGGGGTCCATATGGCAACCGTGCATCAGGAACACATATGAGTGTCCTCTGTCATTTTGATATCATGTTTTTCCCTAAATTACTTCAATAGAATATAATTTTAAAGTATAACACTAAAAATTTTGTCCTCATATTTTACAGCTTATAAAAGGTTTCATAATATGTCTGACAAGAGGAAAGAAAAATAAATTATACACTGATGAAGGAGTAGAGTCCCACTTTTTGCAGGGAAAGAGAGAGAGAGAGAGAGAGAGAGAGAGAGAGAAGGGATGGTGATGAGAGAAAAAGAAACGAGATGCTGCATAATGATTGTAGCACAACTCCTTAAAGACCTATCCATAACAAGACTGAACGAAGGAGATAGGAGTTGAATATTTACTTACACTTATCATCATCTTGGAACACAAATTCGGGAAACCGAATTGACGGACACGAACTTCAAATAAATCATGACATCAAAAAGGAAGCTACAGACCGAGAAGAAAAAAGCAATATAAATTATGACACAAAATCAATACTTCAAAGGAATGCCGATGACTTGCAACAAAATAGCAGAGAACATCTAAAGATGCTGTAGTGTTCTTGAAGAGACAAACGAAGGCATATAGATCGAGAAACCCAATACCACTCGATTTAAGTACACACTCACCAAAACATTGATAGATCACATCTTGTTTAGCATATCCTAAATCTAGACATTGGCTTCGGGGCCGGGGGCTTGGGGGAGGGGGGAGGGGGGGGGGCTTGGGCATAAAATTAGAGCTAAATGCCATCATCATGATCTATGTACTATCATTTCGTACAATTATGCCTTAATACGGTCCAACATCAATTGATCTAACATCCAGTTTGTCCATCAGCATTCCGACAAATAGTTTTGTCCAATAAACAAAAAATTGGTGTGTAAACCATTGTCCGAAAACCAAATTTGATTACACGTATTACAGCTGTTCTATATCTATTGCGTCCAAATATCAAACACAATGCTTTTTAATACCTTGCCTAATGATCTCAGAATTATAAATGTTGTTATATCTTATAAAATTAAAGATAGTGGCTCACTTCTTTCATCTCGTGAATACTAAATGTTTTAATGTTCTTTTTATCTCTCTTTTGTCACTCTGATTCGATTTTGTACTTAAATTTCCGTAAATATATTTGTTTGTAAATTGTATATTCTTTGTTTTAGATTCTATTGTTCGAATTTTATGTAATCATGGCCTCGCTGAAAAACAGCATTTGCTGAATGCGGGCACAATTATTGTATTTGTTTTTAACCGTGAAAAAATAAAATATTCCATACCAACCAAACTATGTTAGAAGTGTACACTGATGGGAATGCATATTATAAACATGGCCAATTGGAAATTTAAAATCGTCAATATTATACACTCAACTGCTCCGCAATCTTATGTATGACATTTCTAGCGTTCTAACTTTTTTTGTCTTACTACATTATTAACTTTTCTTGAATATGGTGAGACATCTGAAGAAAAAAAAAACTCTCAAATCTTTATTAACCACAAAATTAATCTCAAGAAAGAAAATGACGCAAAGAAGAAAAAATAATGGAAAATAAGGTGATTCGGTGATATATGGTGCCAGAGAATAAAGACAGATGATAGTTTAATCAATTTAGAGAGTTTAGTAACCTGGAAAAGCAATGGCAGAACATAAGTCACGTTGTTAGAAAACATAGGAATAATAATAGTTGAAATACAAACAAGTTACCAAGCAGTGTCATTATAAGTTCAATGAATACAAATTTTGGTTTCAAAATAGGTATGTCTCAACTTCAATTTCAAATGATCTACTTTAATTTGAAGAATATTTTAGATGAACATTTCGTCTGTTCCGGAAATTTGTATACCCACTTGAGAGTGGATTCCACTCCAAAGTAATAGCTGTTAACGAAACAATCCCTATATGACTCCCCAAAGGGTTAACGAAACAATCCCGATATGACTCCCCCAAAGGGGTTAACGAAATAATCCCTATATGACTCCCCCGAAGGGTTAACGAAATAATCCCTATATGACTCCCCCAAAGGGGTTAACGAAATAATCCCTATATGACTCCCCCAAAGGGTTAAAGAAACAATCCCGATATGACTTCCCCAAAGGGGTTAACGAAACAATCCCGATATGACTCCCCCAAAGGGGTTAACGAAATAATCCCTATATGACTCCCCCAAAGGGTTAAAGAAACAATCCCGATATGACTTCCCCAAAGGGGTTAACGAAATAATCCTTATATGACTCCCCCAAAGGGGTTAACGAAACAATCCCTATATGACTCCCCCAAAGGGGTTAACGAAATAATCCTTATATGACTCCCCCAAAGGGGTTAACGAAACAATCCCGATATGACTCCCCCAAAGGGGTTAACGAAATAATCCCTATATGACTCCCCCAAAGGGTTAACGAAACAATCCCGATATGACTCCCCCAAAGGGGTTAACGAAATAATCCTTATATGACTCCCCCAAAGGGGTTAACGAAATAATCCTTATATGACTCCCCCAAAGGGGAATTCACTCCTGGAGATTTAGAGAGTAGAATCATAGATATAACGAAACAATCCCTATATGACTCCCCCAAAGGGGAATTCACTCCTGGAGATTTAGAGAGTAGAATGATAGATATAACGAAACAATCCCTATATGACTCCCCCAAAGGGGTTAACGAAACAATCCCTATATGACTCCCCCAAAGGGGAATTCACTCCTGGAGATTTAGAGAGTAGAATGATAGATATAACGAAACAATCCCTACATGACTCCCCCAAAGGGGAATTCACTCCTGGAGATTTAGAGAGTAGAATGATAGATATAACGAAACAATTCCTATATGACTCCCCCAAAGGGGAATTCACTCCTGGAGATTTAGAGAGTAGAATGATAGATATAACGAAACAATCCCGATATGACTCCCCCAAAGGGGAATTCACTCCTAAAGATTTAGAGAGTAGAATGATAGATATAACGAAACAATCCCTACATGACTCCCCCAAAGGGGAATTCACTCCTGAAGATTTAGAGAGTAGAATGATAGATATAACGAAACAATCCCTACATGACTCCCCCAAAGGGGAATTCACTCCTGGAGATTTAGAGAGTAGAATGATAGATATAACGAAACAATTCCTATATGACTCCCCCAAAGGGGAATTCACTCCTGGAGATTTAGAGAGTAGAATGATAGATATAACGAAACAATCCCTATATGACTCCCCCAAAGGGGTTAACGAAACAATCCCTATATGACTCCCCCAAAAGGGAATTCACTCCTGGAGATTTAGAGAGTAGAATGATAGATATAACGAAACAATCCCTATATGACTCCCCCGAAGGGGAATTCACTCCTGGAGATTTAGAGAGTAGAATCATAGATATAACGAAACAGTCCCTATATGACTCCCCCAAAGGGGTTAACGAAACAATCCCTATATGACTCCACCAAAGGGGAATTCACTCCTGGAGATTTAGAGAGTAGAATCATAGATATAACGAAACAATCCCTATATGACTCCCCCAAAGGGGAATTCACTCCTGAAGATTTAGAGAGTAGAATGATAGATATAACGAAACAATCCCTATATGACTCCCCCAAAGGGGAATTCACTCCTGGAGATTTAGAGAGTAGAATCATAGATATAACGAAACAATCCCTATATGACTCCCCCAAAGGGGAATTCACTTCTGGAGATTTAGAGAGTTGAATCATAGATATAATAGGTTGCTAATCACCGTTATTAGACAGAAAACCAATCAGGACCAGTGATAATTATTGACAGGCATGACCCAAGGCAGGGAAAATATTCTGAAAAGGCCAACAGCTACGGTTGTACTTAAATCAGATACAAGGCAGGTTATACAATTATTAAACTGATTATAATTTCAGAATTTCAACATTGAAAAACGGTAGAGGAATAACTTGTTCGTCTTTTGTATATCAAAATATATGAATATTACATGTGAAAGAACAGCATAAGGATTGTATTATGGATAATGATAAACGATATATGTACCTGTACGTATGATAACGACGGTTGACTTGTATTGCGAATATTGCCCATGACTATATGTACATACAAATGGAAAAGTAAGTAAGTTGTGGTTCATTGATATTTTTTTTTTTTAAAGGAAATTTGTGTTCTTTTCATTTTCAAGGTGATGAAACCAATTTTAGGAACATCATTCCAAATGTACCAATGATTGACCTGAAAATAATGAAATTCTGCCACCGCAGAGATTGATAATGACACCTTCTAGGTTAAGAGCTTAATATGTCGCAAAGTATATCTATTACAATTATAAGAATTTAAAATAGCTTATTAATAAAAAAAATAAAAAAACATTTATGATTCTTACACAGGCTTCTAGTGGACACGCCCTGAATGCCCTTTTCCATCACTTGTACACACCCCCGACTAAGATAGCATTGGTAGGAGAATTATTATCATCTGTCACCGTTCAACTCGCGCAAGTCACTGGTTTGTGGAAATTTATCGAGGTGAGTGAGGATCTTCTTCATAATATTTTTTGTCTCTCTAAATAAATAATACTCTGAGCTTCTCTTCTTTCTCCTATTTTTTTTACCTGTATCTCTATTTATAATTGTATTATCCTCATTTATCATAAACTTTTTCCTTTATCGTTGTGATCGTTTCCATGCCTACTTATTCCTTTCCCTTCCTGCTTCTATACTTTTCTTCTTTTGTTCATGTTCACACAGGGGAAAACCTCTTTAAAGCATTAGGCTAATCAGCTTTTAATATACAAACTATTCACTCAGGGGATAAATTCTTTAAAGCTGATTAGTTCAAAGAGCATTAGCGTCAATTATCACAATACAATGTCTTGCCTCTATAGAAACGGACTTCGTATCTGCAGCCTGCTCTGACCGGTCTTTAGATCGCGAGTTCGTATCTGTCCGAACATCGTATAAACACACAGGGCAAAAATGTACTTTAAATCCGTTTAGTTAAAGAGCTTTAAACTAAACAGGTGTAATGCAATTGGTCGAGAATACAGGCTTGAGTTCTTTATTGTATAATCTCTTGTCTGCCTAATTGCAGTCTTGTATATAAATTATATTGGCTTGTTTGAATTATGCGAGAATATAATTTTTATATCCGTCATTTATGCAACACTTGAAAAGATGATTCTACGTTTCACTTTTTGTTGTATTGCAAGAAGGTGATTCTCGGACAATTATAATGTAGTTTGATATTTCACCTATTAGGTAGAACTGGAAATAAACCAAAATATAATAGATGTAGGTAAGGACATAGGAAAAAAAGAAATATACTCTCCTGAATGTTATTTTTAATTATGCGCAATATGCAATTTACAAATTTAACGTTAAGCAGTTTGTCAATGGTTCCGTTATTTACTCGCATGCTTTGATTTTTTAATTCAAGTCGTAGCTAAGATTATTTTTAAAGGTTCTAGGACACCTACCCCCTGAACATTCACCCACCGGATAACCACCCCCAGTCAATAACCCCCTAGGACAACTACCCCCTAGGGCAACCACCCCCTAGGACAACTACCCCCAGGACAACTACCAACTAGGACAACTACTCCCGAACAAATAGTTATTCTGGGGAGGATGTCCAGGGGTGTCTGGATACGGTTTTTAAGGTATGAATTAGTTAGCAAAGAAAATAATACTAAGCTGGAAGAATATTGTTGAATATACTTTAATTTGTAGCCAATGTTATTTTTCATCCAATCATTGAGTAATTAATGTAAATATGGATGGAAATTATGGAAATAAATTCCTCGTTTGAGGAAAAGAGAGACAGAAATATATATGTATATCCGTCATTTCCAAAAATGACGTTTAGTTTTAGAAAGAGATGTAACAAAATACAACCGGATAATGTACGCATGATACATGTATACATTATATTTCTTGATTATACGGCTTAATTTACCTCCCTTTCTTGTTTTACTATCCTAATTAGCCTACACATTTTCAGATACTAGTAATATGATAAATTTGCAGTCTTGAATTTTCAATGTGTAACGTGCACGTTTGATTCGGCTAGAATACATTTCCCGTAATTTCCACATCTCATGCTAATCTTTTACAAAAGATAAATGCATCGATCGTACATGTTCTATCTGAAAGAACATCTTCAAATTATGGTAAGCGTAATGCGCCGATTACATCGTGAGTGATTTGGCCAGCATGTTTCAACCGGGGTGCCGCAAGACAATTTTAGGGGAGCCGGGAGAGAAATTAAACACTTTAATTATTATTATTATTAATTATTTCTCGAATGTTTATATCGTTGATCCATTATGAAATAAACGTAAATTATGTAGAATGTCAAATTTCAAAATCCTCATGAACCAAGGTTTATGCTAAAACAATGAACGTGGGTCAAAATCCCGTTTTGATATTTCAGTATGAAGACAATAGCTGAGAAATTCACATCAGTTGTGTGCATTTAAAGATAAACTTGAGTTCTGGTATAAAAAGAAAAAATGAATTCTCACAGAATCTAACGAAACTTACACTGAATGTTCAAGAATACAAATAAATGTCATGTGCCAAAAAAAAATGGAAGAAAATGTATACTGGCTGAGTAATGAGCATAGAAAGATAAGGAAATATATATATATAAATATACCGTTGTAATGAGAAAATGCCTAACACCTCTTTAGGTACTTTTTTTTCAAAAGATGAAGCGACTTCTCCAAATAACAGGAAGTCAGTTAACTGCAGACATAAATATTAAACCAAAGCAATTACTTGTCATGCATCTCAAATAAAAGTCAGCAAGAAAATCCATTGGGTATTCAAATACTTACCTTTAAGGAAGAACGTCTCAGGAAGAATCTTTAGATTATTATATTCTGCATATCTTGTTGAAACGGATTTAAACGTTTAAACCTTTATTATTATTATTATCATTTATTTGACCAATCGGAAAACATACAATGAGTATAACCATCAGATATTACACAGAAATGTCATGATACATGCAAACAGCTTCAGGAAAGTGGAGAGGAGAGAGAGAGAGAGAGAATGATACAATCTGCTGGTCATGGGTGACGAAAGCAATTGAAATTGCTATTACTCGAAAGCATGTCACCCCCACAGTCTGTATCCTGGAAAATTAAGAGTAAAGAACAGAATAAGAATTCACAATATGAGATAATAAATATATATCAGGACGATAAATAATTGGATCAATTACCATTATATCCTTGATTACTTTCATTACATTATTTTGTCATTACAATGGCTTTACGTTCATCACATAAAACTAAAAAATTTCAAATCAATAACATGGTGCTTACATTAGAAACCATTGATATGATCATTATTGGGAAGAAAAGTTCCGTAATAACATTATTCTTAACAATAATTTCTAACTTTCGAAATGAAATGAAATGAAATAAATAAAATTATAATCTGAAACCTTATATGTACGGAATGGAACAAAGAAATTAGCTTGCAATATTGATATTATTTCTAAGTGAAAACAATAAACATAAATTAGTAAGTTATGATCTAGATGAGATGTATAATTAATCTTGGAGTTTCCAAAAAGGCACAGTAAAATTATTTATCACTTGCTTTTAAGTGACGAACACATTTAGGAATTCGATGCATACAAATTGAAAAATAAAAAGCTTTGTTTGGTTTGCTTGAGAGAAATGGACAGAATTTGAAATCAGACATGAGTATAAAATATTACCATTAATAATTATCAATGCATTGTTTACATTGAATTAAATGAGTTTAGTGAACAGTGAGAAGAGATTGTCTCAATGTTGAAAGGAAGGATGAAATAGAATTGAGTACAGCGGTATCTTTTATTACTGTGGAAAGGTTGTTCCACAGTCTTGGAAAGCGGCGAGATGGAGAAAGAAAAAGTGCCTGTGTCCGAGAAGAAGGTGACGGAATGTAAGTACCTCTTGCCGCCTGGAATTGATCTGGATGCATTTAGTAAGAGCCTCACAAAGGTCGAGACCACTGAGGCATTTGAAAGTGAATGAAAGAAGGAGAAAGTCTCTCCTGGAAGATAAGCTCGACCAGTGGAGAGTAGTGAGTCTATCTTCATAGGACATGTCGCCTCTCCGTTGTTTAAGGGCAAGACGTGTGGCTGGCGCTGAACGCGTTCTAATTGCTTTTCTTGTTTGAGGGTGTGAGGATGCTACGCCGTTTGTCTGACCCTATTGTCCGTATTCTAGTTTTGGAAGAATGAGAGCTTTGTAAAGAGAGAAAATGGCTGGTGTTGAAGCTTGACCTGCCACTACTCTAATGAACTCGAGGAGACGGTTGGCCCTTTTGACGATATTATCAATATGTGTGTTCCATGAAAGCTATTACGGATGTGTAATTAGTTTGAAGGATTTATAAAGATATCCCAACCCGTTTATTACCTGAATATTTTCAAGAATCTTGGGGAGAAATGAAACGTTAACGTCATTACTATTTATGTCATGTATGATTTGTTTCCATATCTTACTACCTCCCCCCCCCCCCCCCTTCTCTCCCCTCTCTCTCTCTCTCTCTCTCTCTCTCTGTATTCGTCTTGCTCTCTCTCTGTATTCGTCTTCCTCTCTTTCTGCTGTTTTCCCTCTTTCCCTGTCTTTCACTCTCACTCTCTCACCCTTATTTTGTTTATGAACCATCCTCCTCTTGTCATCGTGCTAATGTTCTTATTTGTTTTTGTTTCGTTTTTGTGTGTCTTTCATGTTTTTTAATCAAAATTCAGTAATTAATGTATAAAGTTTAAATTATTATTGTGCGAACCTACACATAACAAGCATTGCTTCCAAGTAGATTCGTTTTTCATTTCCTGTAACCAAATAAGTCTGGTAGAAAACAAACTGTTTATTGTCATGAGAAACTGTCTAATTTTAAGAGTCTGTCTATTGGAATACCCCAGGGCAGTGCACTGGGTCCTTTACTTTTTCTTGTTTTTATTAATGATATAAGTGAATGTCTAAGATCATGTTCATGCAATATATATGCTGATGACGTTGTTATATATATTTCTGATAAGAATATCGAAGTTATTAGGGATAAGCTGCAGGCTGATCTAGAGGGAATTAGTAAGGGGTATAAAAGAAATAAACTAAAAGTTAATACTGAAAAAACTTACAGTATGTTATTGAAACGCAACTCGCAAAATAGTCAGGATTTAAACATTTCTTTGGATGGAAATAAAATCAAACCAGAAAAAAACATTAGGTACTTAGGAATTGAATTGGACGAAAACCTAACCTGGAATATCCATGTAAAGAAGCTCAGTAAATCGTTAGCTTATAAAATATTTTCTTTGAAAAAGGTCAGTAATTTCACCGATACGAATGTGTTGAATAAAATTTATAAATGTATAATCCAACCTATATCAGATTATGCATGCTCGATATGGGGGAATTGTTCTGTTTACAACAAGAACATTATTTTTAGATTACAAAAAAGAGCAGCAAGGATAGTTGAACGGAATTTTGATTTTAATGAAAGTGGTCTTGATATTGTTAAAAGATTGAAATGGCAGGTTTTAGAAGAAAGACGTAACTATTTCCTTGCTTGTATAATGTATAAATGTATCTATGGTTACGCTCCATTACGTTTGTGCAATGCTATTGACATGGTTTTTGAACGGCATCCAATGAATACGAGATTGGCTAACTCAATGAGTGTTGTCCTTCCCAAGCCTAGTATTGAAATTTTCAAGAATAGTTAACGTTACGAAGGCGGCAAAGTATGGAATAATTTACCCTCTAACCTACAAAATGCACAATCCATCGACTGTTTTAAAAACATGTATAAAAAAACCTATTTCAGCAAATTATGAATAATATCATCGTTGTTTTTGCTCTTTTTGCTTTAAGTTTAATTTGGTACTTCATGATATAAGTTCATTTTGTAGTGTGATAGAGTTTTGATTTTGAATAGATCAGTCGATTACTTGATTCCATTATTGTGTTTTTATATATTTAATTAAATATCATGTATTTTTGACTTGGTTTTTACTCAAGATTATGGTCACTATATATTTTTATCATGACTTCATGAGTATTTTAACAATTCTCATTATATATGTATGATTATTCTGTCTTGATGTTTTAGTGTAAGCTTTTAATATTCAGGACCAGGATGTAAACCAGTCCTTTCTGATCTTGTTATCCTAATGAAATATGTTCAAATAAATAAATAAATAAATAAATAAATAAATAATGTTGCATTATAAGACTTTTAAAAAAAATCTAAGATATTTCAATACTATTTTTCTGTTATATAATTACGTTTGTTATTGTGATTATCTTGTCATTGTTTATATTATGTGGAAATTTGAATAAATTCACTCTGTATATAGAGCGACTACTACTACTCTTTATTTTAGACTTAAAAAACAAATTATTTGTATTTTTTATAACATCAAAACTAATATCGCAATATTTACAGGTTCTTTAATTTAAACTTCAATCGGTAGAAGTAGTTATACAAGATGAAAACGATTGCGATGTGGAAGCGAATTGGGAATTGTGTATTATGCACGCGGTGAGAAAACTGGAAACAAATGGCTTTAAAGTATGTCTGCACTAGTTTGGCCAGGAGGGATTAGACCTCCCTGCATGGTCACTGACATGTGGTTATCTCATCAAATTAGCTTTCAATCAACATAAGAAAAAGGGGAACAAGGGGAACCAACAGGTACCGCTTAGACATTGTTTGCTATATAGAGGGCGCAAGTAGCTACAAGTAAGGCAGTCCCGCTTAAAAGGGAAATTTAACTTTGGAAGCAAACTACTCTAGACGAAAGCAGAAACATAAGAGAAGCAGACTCGTGAAAGTTTGAGTGAAAGCGGACAAAAAGTGAGAAAGTTATCAAGTTGTTATTGTTTTAATCACTATAGGTAAGGGCTCTGACTTCTGAATCGGTATTAAAATGTCTCTGCGATGTATAAGCGGACAACTTTCCCATTTGTTACAACAAACAAAATGACTAAAATTTCTATTTTCCTAAAAACTTATGATTCAGAAGGGTTCATTCTCCTACAAGGACCTAGAATGATATTCTATCCATAATATGATTAAGTACTTCCCCTAGGGAGAAGTCCCTTTAGGACAAAAACAGACATTAATTATTATTACGTACACGATCGACAAACGGGAGAGTTATCCACGGCACTGGTAGACTCAAGTTATATCACTGTCAGTTTTCTGATCGCCAGAAATAATTTATATTTAGGATGTGTCATAAAACTTGTTTAAACCATTCTTGTGAACGCAATGAACTTGTTCAGCTATTAGGACGATTTTTAAAATCGAAGGTATATCTTGCTAAATATCATCACTCACAAATTGTTCAATAAAATAACTCTTTTGTACCCTGGGCTACTAGTAATTGATGTTTCGCGCAACCTACCGTTTTCTCCTGAAAGTCTCCAACGTGATCTCTGTATTTCTTTCATTCAAATTTTGAATTTTTATGTGCTTTTCTAATATATCTGAATGCTTTTTATATGTAAATTATGTGAAATTCGTCATCATTTCTATGAATCTTGTTTCTTTTAAATAAATCATAAATAAATCAAATTTCTTCTTTCTGCCAGATGGCGTACGCATCGTCATTGATCACGTTATCTGACCGCCATCTCTTCCCATACTTCTTCCGTACTATCGCTAGCAGTGCCGAGATCAACCTGGTCCAACTCGCCATCATGCAGCAGTATGGATGGACCAAAGTGGCGATCATCTACGAGACCAATGCCCTACACGCCGGGGTAAGAATTATATTGTAATACCCGGAATATTGCTCCAGATGATAATTATGGTGCTCAACCACTAATTAACGGTTGGTATACCTCTATGGACGACGATTCGTTTTCTTTCGTGGTCCTTTATGGTTTATTTTGTTTTATCATATAAGAACACGAGTGATCACTTATGAAAGATGTATGTAAACATAAGGACTGGTGACGGTTCTAGATGGGGAAATCGAGCCCCCCCCCCCCCTTCTTGGCATGGACGTAAACCATTCATCCTCCATCACGCTACACTGCTGATTATGTTATTATACCACACCGCACACACACAAAACCCGACCCGACTACCATCCATTTTTTTGGAAGAAGTTAAAATATTATTAGATGTGACTATCCAAGCATACTGATATTTCTGATTGTGATCCCTTTTTTGCCATATGTAATTCCGTAGCTACTTATATGGTTTTCTATAATGAAGGGAAAAAAAGACCCGATTCTTGCTAATCTTAGTGACGTCAGACTAGTAGCAATATTAGCCGTCTTCGATAAAAGCTATAATCCATTTATGCGACTGACCCCACAATTTCGAATCCATTATTCATGATGATCTTTAAAAAAACCCAATCGGGAAGATTTGAAGTGTTTGAATATTGATATCGAATGATTGTGGCAATTACTTCTAAAAATTTGATCGTGGTGGGATCGTATTATTTGTGATGTGCTTATGCATCTGCTTGAAGTTTCGCCATCAAATTGAAGATATCATAATATGATTGCTAAGGCTTTCTAAATCCAGACGTTTGCGAGGGCAGAAAACCATAGTAACGGGGTAATTACCTGGGCCCCTGGGGGTATTTTTCCTGTAGGGTGTATAATTATGTCTGATGTTCACATCGTGTTCATGCATCAGAGATCTCGATAATTTCTGGTTTACTGACCGAATACTTTTATTCCATTTCACATGTATATTTTGCTTGCTGATTTACAGAACAAAGGTATAGTTTGGGTTTATTTGTATCTGTCACTTGTGTTAAAATTGAGATGTGCGTACCTCTCAGCTCACATGATGCCATTACTTGAGTCTGTAATCAGGTAATATTGAGTTAGGCAGTCAGCGGCAAATCCATCATAATCTCATCTCTCAATGAAACCATCTTGTTTACACGTTCTTTTGCAAAGCGTTATATCCTGTACTCCCAATCAAGATTGAAGATTCAAGATTCTAGATGTTATTGTCCATATATACTACAGACATTTGTTTTCCATTGGTGTAACATGTAATATGTAAAAATAAAATTCTGAATCACATCATGAATAATAAATTCAGGTATGAATATAAATATAAATATGATTGAAACTGGAATAGGAGCAGCATCACAATGGAAGTGGGAACAGAAAGAGAAAGAGAGCTCGAGCTCGAAGGACTGATAAAAGAGAGAAATATAGGGAGAGTTGATAAAGGTCCAGAGGGAAAGGGGAGAGGTAGAGAGAGAGAGAGATGGCTCAGGATGTATTATTACACTGAATCTTCAAACCAAACTTTTTGTACCAGTGTAATGCATGTGTTTGTCTTATCTTGGGATATATCTCTCGACACTCAAGCGGATGGAGTATTTATGCCTATTATTTTGAAAGTTATAATGCTGTACCATGCATGCCTCCTTTCTGTCCATCTCATTTTCTTTTTCATTCTGATCTATCACAACCTAATTTACTTTGTCCTTTGTCTCCTCGTGTACACCATGCCTGTCTCTCCTTTCTATCGCTTTCTATCCATTCAACAGTGTCCACTTCTACCTCTACTCTATTATATTCATACTCTCTTCAATGTAATATCTCACTACCTTTACTTTTTTCTCTTTTTTTTCTTCTTCATTTTCCTCTCCTCTTAACATGATTTTTTTTCCTCTATTCTGTCTATTACATACTATGTCCCATTTGCAGGCCAATAACATAAAAAGGTTCAATTCCAACGGTATTTGAAAAACAATACTAATTTAGAACTTCCCTTAAAACAAAAGGGCTTCAAAATGGCTTTTAGTGGGAAAATAACGACCTTTAGTTGTCGAATCGACTTAAGTGATTGCATCATCTAAGTAATAGTCTGATTTTCAGACACGTTTTGTGCTGCACGAAGATTCAATCAGTTTAATTTTGGCCATTACAAGTAGTGCGTTATTGATGTAGACGCTCACGTACCTGTTACATCTCATTTTATGTATGTTATTACCAAAGAAAAAAATATGTCAGACAGTAACTCAATAGTTTCTTACAGTGAAGTTTCGAAGGTAAACGGGTTTTCTTCCATAATTTGAATAATAAGACACTGCTAATGTTTAAATTTTACAGATAGGACATACATGACATATTCATAATTCCTGCAAAGTTCTAAAGAATTTGATGTTGGCTGCAAAAGGGACATATTATCTTTAAGTGGTTTCCCTATCCTCGTACCCTACTGGCATGACGGGTATGTGTCCAGGCGCGGATTCAAGGGGGCGACGTTACGTTAATTTTACATTTTTAAAACCAAAAATGGGCCCCTCCCCCTGGCAAAAAAAGGTAAAAATCAGCCGCATGGCTGATTCGCCGCTTTAAATTTTCTCACGAATTGGGGAAAAAACTATTGCTCCTTACCCCTTCACGCATCGGGTGAGGGGCATGAATCCACACAATAAAGGGAGGAAGAGATACTTAATTCCAATCGCATCAGATATTGGTTATTTCTAATCTGCCATTTATGAACTATTAAATACATAGGTCTATAGTGTAAAAATATTAAATGAAAACAACACTGCATTTTGCGTTGTGGGCAACCGTGAACCTCCACAAGCAGCCTGGCTTGATCCACTTGGCAATTTCATTAAATAGTCAATCGTTTATTATATTCTATAACACTAACTGATTTTCTATATAGTTTCTGTGTGCTTTTTAATTTCCCGAATGTCAAGGACAGTATTTCTTTCAGCGTACCTTTCATTTAATTTGGCCATTTCATAGTGATTTCGTAGGTAAATGAGCTTGTTTGTAATCACGGCTGACCGTTATTTGGGAACAGTTGCTTTTCTAGACTGCGATGCTATATTCCTTACAGTCAAGGACGCTTCGTCAACTGCTAAAGTGTTCAGTTTAGGAGATGTAGGACAAAAATATCAACCTGAATTGATGAGTGAGGAAAGACTCCTCATGAGGTTCTCTTTCATCTACCTGACGTCATTGCGCTCTCATCAAGGCGCCTTTCTTTAGAACAAGAAGAAAAGAAGGTGACCTTTAAAACTCGCCTTGGCGCTTTGTTAGGGACGAGAAGGCGACTTGTTAAACTGACCAAGTCGCCTTCTCACTAAAGGCAGTAATGTATGGAGGAAAATTGATTCTGATTTGGTCAGAAGTTTACGGAAGCTTGAAGGTAAAGGCCAGTATTGAAAACGCCCAAATTTCAAAAAATGAAATGGAAGTCGCCAATCATGTAAAAGAATATGTTTTGACTAATACATGATGATAACAAAATTTGCCGGGAAACCGTCTACTAAGTGATATATTTGGTAAATTAGTTTATCTATTGGTATGTGGGAGATAAACGCACGTGTCGCGCACGTGTGCGTAGTCCCATATACATCTTTCTGTGTACAGTGCTTGTAACTTTACGAAGGCTGGGCCAACTTTCTTATCATTTTAATGATTCCAGAACCTTGCAGTACACACCAATACTTATATGCTAGATGATCAACCTTTTCTGATCGATTCCACAACGTTTCTTTTACAATGCAATCGCATGACCATAACTGGTCTTTATCTTTACATGTGCAGCGAGAAGGCGACCTGTTTAACTCACCGAAGTGCCTTGATTAAGACGAGGAGAGGAATTCAAAGTCGGATTGCTAAATCTCGCCAAGGTGCATGTTTGCAAGACAAAAACTCACAAGCCCTAATTCACAAAGGAGGTTTGTCGACAAACCTAGGTTTGTGCCATAAGACGCATTTCGATGCGTTTCAGACCAAGGTATAGACAAACCTTGGTCTTAAACGCGTCTGAAAACAAGGCGCCCGTTCGAGTTGTTAAAACTCTTCTTTTCGCTTTCTCGTCTTAACCCTATTTAGCCCGGGCTATTTTGAAACTGCATAGCCCGGGGGGGGGGGGGGTTCTAAAGCCCCCCTATGATCTCGGCCGTGGAATGACCGATCGCCGCAAAAATTTGCATACATGTCAAGTGAAGTGTATAGAATACTATGGTAATTTCATTTTTTTGAAAAATTCACTCATTTGCATATTTATGGTAATTTATGTAAATAAGGTCATAAAATTCACATTTTTGCCCATAAATCAGACATTATTCTTATTTAAGCATTCTTTTTCACTACTATTTGTTAGACCATTTGGAATAATAACACAACACAAAAATTGAATAACCAGGGTCATTCCTTATGTTATCTATTGTTTTGATAATTTCTTATGTATTTCTTTGTTTTTTTAACTTATGTATTTTATTGTTTTTGTTGTTTTATTTCATTTCAAACTATAATTCAACTATTTTGACCCCAAAATAAACACCTAAACTATAAACAAGACCAAATAACCAATGTTTTATCTCTTTATTTGAAAAATGAGATTTCCATATGTTTTGTACATAAATCACAAAAATGAGCGATTTTCGGGCTGACATGCAAAGACAAAAGGACACGTGACTTTGTAATGGTAGGTCCGATTTTCAAAAAAATTATTTCAAAAGATGCGCAAGACTCGAAAGAAAAAAGTCACAAAATTTCAGTGCAAGATTTTCTTGCGTTAAAAAATTATCGCGAAAAATGTCGAGGGGGGGGGGGGGGCCTTCTAAAGCCCCCCCCCCCCCCCCCCGGGCTAAATAGGGTTAAACAACTCGCCTTCTAGCCTTCTTGTCTTAAGCACGCGCGCCTTGACGAGTTAAGTCGCATTTGCGTATTCTCGACTTGGACCCCTTTGAATAACTGGTTTTAACAGAAATTATCGAACCCATGCATGGTAAATAAACAAATGAAATAAAATAAATTAAAAAATTAAACAAGGCGACTTGGAGAGTTTTATTAATTAACATCTCACCTTCTCGTCTTCAACATGTATGTCGCCTTCTCGCTGCACTTGTAAGCCTCCCTAGAGTTTCACGTAATGCTAGGAGTCCACTGGGCCAGCGCCAGTTGGTGCCAGTTCGCGCCAAAGATTATGTGATTGGCGCATAGTGGCTCGCTGTGGCGCCGAATTAATGTCCGCTCGGCATGTGTCGCCAAGTGGAATAATCTGGGTGCCATATGGCGTGCGCCAAATGCCACCCGGCTTGCTCCAAAATGTTGCGCCAGTTTGCGCCAGTTCGCGCCATTACACGGCCATTTGATTCCAAAATTCACCCTGTTGGCGCCATTCGCGCCAATAGACGGCTACTTTGCGCCACTTGGTGATTAGTTTGTGCCAAAGGTCGCCAAATTGGTTTGAACTTGCCGCCGCTTGGCGCTACTTGCCGACTATATAAATACCGGCCATCGGCTACCTGGTTCAGACCCTCCTCAGCTGCTGTATGAACAACATCTCTACTAAATATTTACAATTTTTATATGTCTGAGGCTTTTGATAATGTTGGAGTGATGATGCTGCTCCATCAGGAGATGATGAAAGATGCTGAGGCGGCAACTGCCTATCAACTTATGCTGGCCAATCCTGAAGAAGAAGAGCATCCTAAGAAGAAAAGGAAGCACAACTGGTGGTTTAGACCCATGCTCCACCCACAGTTGAGGGCCGAACGTGGACAGTACCACACTTTGATGGAAGAGCTGAGAAGAATGACAGGAGGAAGTTCAAGAACTACACCAGGGTGTCCCCAGAGATGTTTGATGACCTGTTGGTCAGGCTTACACCCAACTTGCAGAAGAAGGACACCCACTTCAGGAAGGCCATTCCCCCTGGTCTCAAGTTGTCCGTCTTCCTGCGCCATCTCGCCACTGGGGCCACCTATGCCGAGCTGTCTTACAACTTCCGAGTGGGCAAGGAAACCATCCAGAAGTTTGTCCCTGATGTAGCCAGAGCGATAGTGGATGAGTATGCTGCAGAAGTCATCTCCCTCCCCACAACCAATGAAGGCTGGCTTGAGGTTGCAGGTGATTTTGAAGCCAGATGGAATCTTCCTCACTGTCTGGGAGCCTATGATGGAAAGCACATCCGTCTCCAGAAGCCCAACAAATCAGGCAGCCTTTACTTCAACTACAAGCAGTTCTTCTCGGTTATCCTGATGGCTCTGGTAGATTCAAAGTACCAGTTCCTGTGGATCGATGTGGTGGGGTTGGCCATCAGTCTGATACCCAGATCTACAACAACAGTGAACTGAAGGAGTGCATTGAAGCTGGCACTTTAGGCATCCCAGATCCAGCTCCTCTTCCCCATGGTGATGAAGAGCACCCTATGCCGTACTTCTTCATGGGAGACGATGCCTTCGTCATGAGGACGTACATGATGAAGCCCTATAGCCGTCGTAACATGGACCAACAGCAGAAGATCTTCAACTACAGGCTGTACAGGGCAAGGCGTGTGGTTGAAAATGCCTTTGGTATTCTGGCTCTGCGGTTCCAGTGCTTCCTTGGCCAGCTGAGACAGGAACCAGACACAGTCCGCCTGCTCGTTGAAGCTGCCGTCATGCTACACAACCTCATCAGGAAGCGCTATCAGGCACTGGACGTCCGCATGTTGGACCAGGAGGATGCCCAGCACAACCTCATCCCTGGAGCTTGGAGAACTGCCGCCATCACTGAGGATCATTGGCGCAACTTGGCGCGCGCCATTACATTCCAGTGGATTCCAATAGGCGGATTGTTTGCGCCAAAGGGCGATATGTTCGCGCCATTTGGTGCCACTTGGCGGACACTTGGCGCTGATTGCTCGATGCAAGTGGCGCGACGAAAATTTCAAACATTTTAAAATTTTCTTGCCGCCACATATAAATTTGGTGCCGTTACGGGCCACCACGAGCCAGTTGGGAGGCAGTTTGAGCCACTACACGCCACTAGGCACCTTATTGGCGACACTAGGCGCCACAGTAAATTGCATTGGCGCAAACTGGCACCAACTGGCGCTGGCCCAGTGGACTCCTAGCATAACACCGTCCTCGATTTCGTAGAATTATGAGACAGTTCCACAATGGTGATTTGTTTAGAATCATAAGCACCTATTATGTTCTTTCTCCGCTCTTCCCTCACCCCACTCCTCCCCCTCTCTCTCTCTCTCTCCCTCTCTCTCCGTCTCTCTGTCTCTCTCTCTCTCTCTCTCTATCGAAATAAGATTACTTGTCGTTTTCAATAAAATATTTCATCATAAAAGTGAGAAACATTTGAAAATGGGTAAATATCGCCACAAATATTTTTTACACAAAATGTGTAAAAAAATATAGATTTTTTTTTAAATCGATGTTATTATTTGCAGACTCCTAGTGTCAAATGTTTTAAAATATACAGAGATGTGTGCAGAAACATATTATCATATCTATGAAGGAAAGAAAAAAACAGGGATTTCATATTCAAAATAAATAATTCATGATGATAAATTAGATCAAAAACAGCAATAATTTCCTCACCAATTGCAAGAGATAATTGCAACTGTAATGTTTGCAGTAAGGGCGTAGTCGATTTGATCCTTGAATAATTTGACTATCTTTTTGAATTTCATATGTGGTTTTTTTTTAATATCCTGTCTCAAGAGGAAGAAACACAAGTTCTGTACGAAATAATTAAATGAACAAAATTATTACCTTCTATCATTGATTCAATATTGATACGTGTGTTGACGCTGGCGTCAGCCATTTGTAAAAGTATTTTTGTACCTTAGCTAAATGTGATACTTTTAGTATTTGCACAATGTTCAGGTCTCTCAGATTCAGTGGTTAGACATGAATATTTTCTTGTTTTTGTGCAGGTATCTTCCAATCTGCAGGCTCTATGTGAGCAAAGAAATATGTCTGTTCTTGCATCAGAATCGTTTACACATGACCCATCAGACGCAGTTCAAAGGTTAAAGGTTAGTACCAAATCATACTTGAAAGTCCATTCATGCATGATTATTGAAACATTGTCCAATCAATTTGTAAGGCAGAGAATTTTTCGATTTTTAATAACCAGCAGAAAAGTGCCAAGTGCCTGTCGATGACGGCTTCTTTCTAATCATCTTCGAAAATATGATTTGCATAAAATGAAAGTTGATGTCATTATAATACTCATGCGAAAAAATATACTATGAAACAGATTATTATATGCCTACTATTTTCATATTTATGATGGCTAAAAAGAATAAAAAGGCTCTGCACTAGTCTTGAAAATGAAATTTTGCCGAGAACACATTTTAGATCTTTTTCCAGATCACTATTTTTACTTCGTTTTAGGGTATTCGTTCATCTTGTTTTTATTTTCGCTCTCTGGTAATCCTTTCTATTTTCATGTCTCCCCTCTCGACAGCAAAAAGATGTTCGAATAATTGTGGGAAATTTCTACGAGAACACTGCACGAAAGGTCTTTTGTGAGGTAAATTAACCACTTTTAAATTATTGAAAGTTCTTGCCATTAGCATTTTATGTCCACCCCTTTCGACAGCAAAAATATGTTCGAACAATTGTGGGAAATTTTTTACAATACTGCACAGAAGGTCTTTTGTGAGGTTAATTGACAATTTATTGAAAAGGTTCTTGCCATTAGTATTTCATGTCTACACCTCTCAACAGCAAAAAGGTGTTGGAATAATTGTGGGAAATTTCTACGAGAATACTGCAAGGAAGGTTTTTTGCGAGGTAAATTAATTAATTTGCGAGGTAAATTAATTAATTTGCGAGGTAAATTAATTAATTTACTGAAAAATATCCTGCCCCTAGCAATAGACGAGTGAATTCAACTAATACCCCTTCGCTGGTATCCGTAAATAACTCGTTTCAACTCGCAACAATTCGCAGACACTCTTAAAGCCCAAGGCCACTCCAATTTTCAAAATTATAGCATGTTGTAAATCAATCAAAGGTTAAAATATATCTGTAAAGCGCTTAGGCACATCGTCGGATCGATGTATTGAGCGCTATATAAACACGGAATATTATTATTATTATCAAAACTGCCAAATATCACCGGCGTACTTCAATCGGGTGATTTTTAAGAGCGAATTTTGTTTCAAAACATTTAAATTGCCGTACGGATATGACGTATATGCTCCTCACAACGAAAGTGCCAACAGTATATATTCTGACAATAGGCTATTTTCGTAATGTAACCAATTTTAATGCATACGTCTTTGCGAAGTGCCTTGATACAAACTCATTCACCTGACAAGAATAATTGTATTTCAATAGACAATATAATCCGAACTGCAACATTAGTCTTTGCCAGGTGGGACAATTATTATGGCTTGCCCTACCTATCAACACTAATATATGCAGTTTGCATTCAGACTGTTGAAATACTGTTATTCTTATCAGGTGAATGAAAGTTTTTATCGAGGCCCTTCACAAAGACGTATGCATTAAATTTGGTTACATTACGCATCTGTGTTGTGAGGACCCTACGTCCCAAAAAATGCATTGTGGGGGAGAACCGGCTCGAGTGTTAACTTGTTTTTTTCTCATTAAAAAAATATAATTTTTGTTTATAAGCATGCTGAGCACCATTTTCTAAAATCAAGATATATACGGGCTTTTTAGATTTTTGTCTATCTACTCAGCTCAACTTTTCAGTGGAGTGGAGTTGAATCCGTGAAGGGGAGAACGGAGAGGCGAGTGCCTCTTTGAGGCAACTCACCACAACTCGCCATAACTCGCTAATACAACTCGGCTAAGTGGGAGCCCTGCTTTAATAAGTATAAAAGCTGCAAATTCGAACACTTCATTTCAGTTGTTGTTTTTTTGGCCAAAAATCGTAAGGCCTCGTAAATACTCGTAACCAATCGTAACAACACGTAAACAGGTCGTAACTAACACGTAAGTTACTCGTAGTTATCATCGACAACTCGTAACAAATCGTGGAATTTTGCCGTAAATACATCGCAATAACTTGTAATTGTCCGTAATAAACCGTAAATAGCTCATAATAACCCATAACAACTCTTAAATCGGTCGTAAAAGTGGCAAAATCGTAAGGATCCGTGGAATATCCGTGAATTTGTGCGAATCGTAAGGACTCGTAAGAAAAATCTGTGTACACTGTCGCTCATATAGTTTGAATATTTTTTTTTACCCCAATTTATGGAATTATTTTGACAATGATTTATTCCTAACAGATCTAGAAAATATTATTCATTCTCATATTGTATTGAATAATAATTTGCAAGTGTTTGTTTTGCGTGACTGCTGAAGCATGTGTATGCTACTATGCTTATCAACTACGCCATTAAGTCATAAATGACAGTAATGAGGATTAATGCCCCACAAAAGGGCACTAATATGGCACATCGACACGGTTTTGATCCTGGAGCCTCACAGTTACGAGGCCATTGCTTTGCCACTGAACCATGACTGTACGCACCGGGGGCTAGGGTAGGGGGCAGTTCCCACAAATCCAAAAAAACAAAGAAAATGCAATAAATTATCAATAATTTATTGAATTTCCCCCGGTCCCAAAACTAAATAGAATCCTCTGTATGGCCATGTATTATGGCTCAAGATCTATTAGGAATAAATCATTGTCAAAATAATTCCATAAATTGGGGGTAAACAAAAAATATTCTATTTATATGAGCGACAGTGTATGTGAAGTGGGTATAATTAATTCCTTTTCTGTACTTTTATCGTTTTTGATCACAGTGAATGTACTTATGACATATTGAAGAAAAAAATTAAATGGCTATATTTCATCTTTCAGTTACTGTACAGTCAATCTTCACAGTATCTAATTTTCTATTGTTACCATGGTTGCAGATATTCGTAGGGAGAATGAAGAATGTTGCTGTAGGCTGATGTGAATACCTGGTTAGATTAATTGGTAGGAAAATGTCAGGCGAATTCTACTTGTCAAAAGGTCTTCATATTGGATTAGACCGACAATCATGCAAGTAACAAAATTGCAGTTTTATTATCTCTCTCTCTCTCTCTCTCTATCTCTCTCTTTAAGTGCCATATCGATTGACTTTGGCGATCATGCTGTTCCACAACCCTCGGCTCCTAGCCTATTTCTATTAGCACCACTCCCAGTTCTTTCAATCCTCTCTCTTTTACAATTTCTGCAGACTGTCCATCCAAAGTATCCTTCTTCTTCCCCTACCCCTCCTTCCCACAATTTTCCCTGTCAAAGCAAGATTCTCTAGGCCTTCTTTACGTGTAATGTGACCCATGAACTTCAACTGCCTGATCAACATCTCACGGATCATTTTCCTTTGCACTCCAGCTCGTGTAAGAACTTCCTCATTACTAACTTTGTCAGTAACAGGGGATTTTCATCATTCTTTTTAAAAATCACATTTCGCAACTTTCCAAACGTTTTTTAGTATCAGAGGCTAAAGTCCACGTTTCACTACCATAGATAAGTACTGGGTAGATGCAGCAATTCAAGGTTCATTATAACGTACATATTGAACGTGACATGGCCATTTAATTAACCCGATGAAACTGGATTGCCCCCACTCCCGTTTGTCTCTCTCTCACACACGCAAACACACACATACACAATCACACGCATACAATAGGCGCCGGAAGTGGGGTGGCAGGGAAAAAGTGGGGGGGGGGGGAGAGCAAAACGCATTTTTGCCCCCCCCCCCAAAAAAAAAAAAAAACGCCCCCCCCCCCCCCCAAAAAAAAAAAAAGCAGTAAAGGAGTAAAGATGGTTTGTATTTTTAACCCAAAAGAACATAACAATAATACAAACCTGAATTAAATCACATATAAAGTTCCATTCAAAGAAAAGGAAAGTTAACAAGAATTAAATTTCATAAACATTCCGCATGCCACCTGTATTTATTAATGGAGGTTTTTATATTAGCGATACGCGCATATCGTGGAAATAGTGTGAGAGGATGGGAAAGCGTGTGTGTTTTTTGTTGTAGGGGTGAGAAGACATGAGCCCCTGAACGCTGGCGTACTGCTGGGGGGGGTCATTTCTTATTCGATACCAGTGATTTACAAATGTTGCTGAAATGACATGATTTTCCGGTATTTTTTCTCAATTTGTGTGTAAGTCATACCTTTTTAAAACGTTTGTTGGAAAATTAAAAATTCCAAAATTCACAGTCGGGCGAAATATATGCTTATTTAGAAGCCTTCATGTCAGGGCCTGCAGAACGGCTGGGCTAGGGGTTTCGAGCACCCCTCGCTTTTTGAAAAAAAGTATGTTACAGATAAAAGGAAAGAAAGAGAGAGAGAGAGAGAGAGAGAGAGGATATAAGTGACCTGCCAATGTCACAAATGAGGTATCAAAATATGCTCATCTGACCGTAATTCAATGCCTAAAACCCCAGTGCTTACGGGGGCTCCACCCCGGACCCCACTAAGGGCCCTAAGGCGGTCCACTGAATGCTCATCTGACAGTAATTAAATACCTAAAAAACCCGAGCTTCCAGAGGCTCTGCCCCCTGGACCCCACCAAGGGCCCTAAGGCCGGCCCCTGGATGGTCATCTGACCGTAGTTAAATATCTAAAACCTCTGAGCTTCAGGGGGTTCTGCCCCCTGGACTACACCAATGGCCTTAAAGCTAATCTAACCGTAATTAAATACCTAAAACCCCTGAGCTTCCGGGGGCTCTGTCCCCTGGACTCTCCCCCAATTAGTGACCTGCCAGTGTCACAAATAAGGTATCTACATGTGCTTATCTGATCGTAATTTAATGCCTAAAAACCCCTGAGCTTCCAGGGGCTTAACCCCATGACCCTCTGCCGGGGCTCATTCCCTGGAACCCACGCCAATTTACGCTCTTCCTGATCGTTAATACTCCACTTTAAAAAACGTTCCGCGGGGCCTGCATGTGACGTGTAAGAGTAGTGGTGACGCAGATTTTTCTTCTGCCCCCCCCCCCCCTTCTAAACGTTTTTGCTCATTACGCCACTGCCCCTGGAAGGCGAGCCCCCTGGAATCCCCCCCCCCCCATCCCAAACTGGTTCCTGCGCGCCTGCACACGACACCTCCCCCCCCCCCCCCCCCCCCCTCTCTCTCTCTCTCTCTCTCTCTCTCTCTCTCATCTCAGTCTCTCTCAGACACACGCACACACAAACACGAACCTCTTTCTTTCTCACTCTCCCTCAATCTTTTTCTTCTCCCCGGCCTTCTTTCTCTTCCCTCTTAAAGATAAAGTTGAGTTCTGGTCAGGCGATTGCATTGTGAAAGAAACGTCGTGGAATCGATCAGAAAAAGTTGATCATGTAGCATAAGTATTGGTGCGTACTGCAAGGTTCTGGAGTCATCAAAATCATAAGAAGGTGGCCCAGTCTTGGTAAAGTAACATGCACTGTACACAGAAAGATGTATATGGGACTACACAAACATGTGGTGTAAAAATGTGGGCCTCATTTTTAAGCTGTTACATGTCATATTTAGAATAGGAAGGCATTTGAAGAGCCATGCTTTTCAGGGAACTTTTTTTCTCTGATGTTCTTCCACACTTGCATATAATAACAATGAAGACGCTCACAAATTATTTTCACCTCTCCCCAGAACTCAACCTTCTCTTTAAGTCAACATTTTCTCCCCTCTATCTCTTTCCGATTCTACAATTCTCTTCCCCTCTCTCTCCCTCTCTCCCTCAAAACTTTTGATTTTTTTTTTTTAAACTACTGTAATTTATTTATTGATGAAACCATTTAAACTTGATGATGTGGGTTTTTAATCGTCCAAACGCATGCGACGGTTTGTATAGTGATGAAAGTATATCAATAGGAGTATTCATGCCTGAAGAAAATTCACAACTGAATTGACATCTGACATCTAAACGCTTGATTTTTTAAGGTGAAAATATTCCGCTTAATTACCCAGCCTTATTCTTTAGATAGTGACACATAGGGTCAATTCTTTCACTAGTGGCTGTAATTCCCCTATCAAAAAGCTTTATACATCAGTGGAATGCTAAATTCTCCCGATCAACAAAATAGCCTTGAAGAACTACTCCATTCCATTTGAATTTTCTTGCGTATTGTATTCTCCGTTTTTAATTTTTTCCCAATGAGATAGATTCCGAGATAAGTGTCCAGTGTACCGTATGGACTCGCGTATTTGAGGTGCATTGTTTGGGCCAAGTCTGACAAGTGGAACGTGTACATATATCGTGTGGGGGTTTCGTGTGCGTCAGTTTGTGTGTTTTCTGTGGTAGATTTTTCTCCCTTGAAAATCTCACTTTTCACAATTTGCCAAAACCCATCTCTTTGATAATATTAGATGCCCGTCAATTTTTTTTAACAAATATGTCATGTTTATTGTTTTATTAGGGAAATCAGATAAAGTGATAGGTGACGAGTCATTAACACTTTCTTCGTGAAATGTCTATGTTTTAAATATTGAGAAAAAAACTCTCTTGTTTACTGCTAGGGCATGGCTTTTCTTCTGCATATAGTGCACACACAGACCAGAAACGTTACAGTATCCTTCCTTGTTTTTCTCACACAATGTCACCCCCCCCCCCCCCCCTGGCTGGAAACTGCCACTTTCTTGTCACAAGCATTCCTCTTTCTAATTTCTTTAAGGAAATTACATCCGTTTTTTGTAATTATTGAAAAATAACGAATACCATTGTGGTGTGAGTAAACACCACAGAGTTATTTCTGTCAGGTGGAAGGGGTCCTACCGTTAAAACATAGTTACAAGACACAACTTCCACTCCGCCGGCTGAAAACCAAATGAAGATTAACTATTCTAGCCTAGTGGTTTTTAAGCAGGCACTCGTAGGAAAATGTAATAATCTGTGTGGCATTCACATCGCTTTTATTTTGGTAAAGTATTACAAAAGTAATTCAACGAGGCTAAATCAGTACATACATGTTATTCTAATACTAATTTGAATTCTTTTTACCCACAATGAAGGCATACAAGCACAACCTTTTTGGCGCCTCCTACGTTTGGTTCTTGGTGGGGTATTACACCCCTGACTGGCAGCACCGTGTGGACCCTGGGGTAATAGACTGCACCCCACAGCAGATCTTAGTGGCCAGTGAGGGGTACCTTACAGCTACATGGAGTATGAATGGGAGAGAAGGAAAAGTTACCATAACAGGACGTGTAAGTCTCTATCCTGATGAATTAAAGGAACGTTACCCTTCTTAAAGTTGGTCTTAGGAGTTGCGGGAAAAATCTGTGAAAATTGTTAGAAATTTGAGAAAAGTTAGGAATGAGAAAGTTATAAATGATAAATTATGCTAATTATTTAATTTCACATTATAGTCTCATATTAGCAACAACTTAAAGATAAAGTTGAGTTCTGGTCATGCGATTGCATTGTGAAAGAAAAGGTGTGGAATGGATCAGAAAAAGTTCATCATGTAGCATGTAAGTATTGGTGTGTATACTGCAAGGTTCTGGAGTCATCAAAATCATAATAAATTTGGCCCAGTCTTGGTAAAGTAACAAGCACTGTACACAGAAAGATGTATATGGGTCTACACACAAAATGTCGGGGCTACTTACCTTGATTTCCTTATCTTTCTGAGCTCATTACCCAGCCAGTGTACATTTCTACCAAAATTGTTTGGCAAATGACATTTATTTGTAATCTTGAACATTCAGTGTAAGTTTCGTTTGATTCTGTGAGAATTCATTTTCTTTTTTTTTTACCAGAACTCAAGTTTATCTTTAATGATGATAATAATAATGGCATTCAGAGAGGGCAGTTCAATGGAACTTGTGTAAAATATTACAACTGTAATTATCGTCACTTTTCGATTAATCATACGCAACCATTAAACCAATTTGTTTGACTTACTGCAAGAGTTCAATACCACTATTCTTATTTTATGACAATTCCAGACGCCTCAGGAGTTCCGAAATGACATGGCAGCCATCTTAGGTCACGTGATTGATCTCAACGGTCAGGATGTGGCGGCAAACGCTCATGATGCAGTTTGGGCAATCGCATTAGGACTTAATGCCTCAATCCCCGACATAGCACCCCGCACACTTGAACAGTATTCATACGGAGATCAGGAAATGGCAGATATCTTCAAGGCCAACATTGAACACGTTGAGTTTGATGGCGTGTCGGTGAGATCCATTTTTCTTGATGTTTTAAAAACTTATTTCACTGGTCCTTTTGTATAATATTTGAATTAGACTTGTGTTGAACACTTTTCATATACATATATACATGAAAACACAAATGATTACACGAATTCATACGGATAAAACGAAAAATAACAAATCAGACTGTTTAAGATGGTTGTCAAATTAAGAATAATACTCGCTAAAAAATATTCCAAAGCAAACGGTGGTTCGAAATGTCGGACTCAATATGTCGATTTCATAGGGGTATTCTTCAAAATTTCTGCTACGTATGTCTATGCTAGCTATCTTTATCGTGCATATCAGAGAAGAGAGAGAGAGAGAGAGAGAGAGGAGGGAGCGACTGGCATAAGAACTGCATACATATTTATGCTAGAAAAGGCGTAAATCGATGGGGAAGGAGGGGGATGGTGCGGTTGTTCCCGCCTGCTTGGATCCATCTATTGTGTATGGTATTTGCGTGGTTGTTCATGCGTGTGGGAGTGGGTGTGGGAGTGGGTGTGAGAGCGGGTGTGTGGTGCGCGTACGTGGTGCGCGTGCGTTTGATTATGTGTGAGGGAATGGGTATGTCGACATCCCTGTGTGAAACCATTTCGGATTTTGTACGTCAAGCGATTTACCCAATATCTTTTTTCCTTATTACATAGGGCCCAGTAAGTTTTTCACCTGTTGGTGATAGGATTGGTGTTTTTCTCGTGGAGCAGAATAGAGGTTTGTGTTTCGATTGAGTATTTGAAATTTACATAATTCTTAAAGTTTTCGTAAACAGCCTTAGAATAATGCAAAGATAATCATATCTTGATAACATTTTAATATAAAGTATAGTCATACTGGACATGCATCGCATATAACAGCGTATAGTCATGATAAAAATGATATTGTTAGGTGTTTTTGATGGCATATATTAAAATACGAGTAATGTCACTCTCTTTTAGAAAACGTAGTTATAAGCTTACAGTACTCTTACACAGGCGGGGGCACGGGGGGCACGTGCCCCCCCCCCTAAATTTCCAAGATCGGTTGATCTTTTTTAGACCCCTTTTTTTTTACCTCGATCGATTACATGTATGTGCCCCCCCCCCCCCCCCCAAACATCGAACTCTGGCTACGTGCCTGCTCTTACAGCGTACATCAGTTTGATTATGATAGTTGTTCATTTATTCTTCTTTTCATTCTATCTGAATGCTGATAATATATTTCATTATATCGTGCCCTTATCTGAATATACTTGTTATTATCAGCTGATTAGAAGTTAATCTTTTCCCCATTAGAGGGTAGCGTTAAATTCACTCTATACTTGATATTAAAGATATTCCTCCTGAATGTGGACCAAGCAAAATTATGTCTCATTATGGAAATTAAATACCTCTATGATTGTGAAGAAATAGTGTGGTACTTTTCACCTTTAATTACGAAATAACAAAGTTAATGTGTTTGAAATCCAATGCATAAATAATCTAAATTGAAGTAACAAAAAGCAGAGAACAACAAAACGAATATATGGCAGATAAATGGTTACATCTTATAGACAACACGACAAAAAACAAATGAATTAACAGCTGAAGGGAATTGTGGGTATATATGCATACCTGTTCAATTAGAAAAATGACAATTAGTTGTGGGTACTTTCTAAAATGATGTACTTATGCCGTGTTATGTGTTCATTATAAATCACATTTCAGATGGTTTTGAGAGAGTGATCGGAACTGTGCAGAGAGATAAATCCATTCATTGGTTGTTTCCACTAGCGAACATCTGGAGAAATAATGGTAAGCTATAAAAAGCCAGGAAAGTACTTTTCCCTTGATTGCAATTCACGTCAATTTCATCAACTATTCATCTTTGTTATCATAAGTATAGAAACACATTCATGTTTGATAGCAGGCATTATGCATAGTTCTTGAAAAGAAAAGACAAAGTTTTATATAATCATGTGCCCAATAATGATATGAACTGCTGTAATGAATATGACTTCCCTCGTTATACCAATATTATCTGATATATGTGAAGCAAAACGAAACCAAATTTTGTCTCAATGTGGAGAGTTTCTTTATTCACTAGGATTTCTTTCAGTGTTTGACTTAACTTATATGGTAATCTCTTGAATTTTGTTCCACAATTATAGTTGAATGTTAAAAACTCGTAAAATTAAAAATATTTCAAGACATATTTGATCGATTCAACAGCATAATGCACTGCAATGAGATTGTTCATCTTTGTAGTGGGTTTTCCAACGTTTTATCTATATTATTGATTGATATGTAACTATACAGCCACCATGCCACATGTAATGCATAATCCGGCTTGTTATTTATGGTGTAGCTTAGAATTATTATAATGTTTCGTGTTGAATAATCCTTTGAATTTACGAACCTTGCAATCTTGGAACCTTGAAACATAATCAAATATTCTCTCCAAACTAATTGCCTCCTCATTAAAAATGAAACTGCCGTTCATATCGTGCTTTTTATTTATGGTGTTGCTTAGAATTATTATAATGTTTCGTGTTGAATAATCCTTTGAATTTACGAACCTTGCAATCTTGGAACCTTGAAACATAATCAAATATTCTCTCCAAACTAATTGCCTCCTCATTAAAAATGATACTGCCGTTCATATCGTGCTTTTTATTTATGGTGTTGCTTAGAATTATTATAATGTTTCGTGTTGAATAATCCTTTGATATACTAACCTTGCAACCTAGTAACCTTGAAAACATGATCGAATATTCTCTCCAAACACTATATTGCCTCCTCATTAAAACTGAAACTGCCGTTCATATCGCGGTTGTTATTCATGATGTTGCTTAAAATTATTATAATGTTTCGTGTTGAATAATCCTTTGATATACGAACCTTGCAAACTAGTAACCTTGAAAACATGATCGAATATTCTCTCCAAACACTATATTGCCTCCTCATTAAAACTGAAGCTGCCTTTCATATCGTGCCTCCACGATTTACAAGAGCAAGTGTGGAACAGTGTGTGATAATAGAAAAACAATGAAAAACTAGTGACTTTGACAATTACTGGAAGCTTTATTTATAATTGGACATCATTACGCTGCACTATGATTTATTTCTGATTTAGTTTGACTTGCAATGTAATTGTGTTGAATGACTATGGCCTGACATTTGTATTGATAATCATTTAAGAAACTACTAATAATAATGATAATTATAATAATAATAATAATAATAATAATAATAATAATAATAATAATAATAATAATAATAATAATAATAATAATAATGATAATAATAAAAATGAATGTTAATAAAGATATTGATAATAAAGGTATTGATGATAATGAAAATAATAATAATAAATATAAAGATTAAATTTAAACATTGGCTGAGCTTCGGTACGGAAAAATTGCGGAAAAAAACATTCACATAGTGTTAATCCCATTTTCACCGTTTCTTTACTGAGGAAACATTATTTTTTGCGAGGGTGACACGCGGTCTTAAGGCCTGTTCAAACATAAAACGACAACCCCCCCCCCCCCCCCCGCCCCCGTGGTTTATTAGTGTTCAAGCATGGCTCGGCTGATTTAGTATATTTACTATTAGAAGCACATTAATCCTGACGCTAGAATTGCTTTCGCGTATTGTATTAATCAGTTGTAGAATTGTGCTTTTCACAACTGCTAGATGGAGAGCCACCTTCTGATCATGATAAGACACGTATCATCCGTGTTTACCAGGGAGTACCTACTCTAGAAGTGATGATCATTGGTATCCTCGCTACCGCTGGTGTCCTCCTTGCTATCTCCTTTCTCATTTTCAACGTAGCCTACAGAAATATCAGGTAGGAATGCTTTGATACTCTGGCGTTATAGGTTTCTATCCCTGGACGATGTCTCTCTCCTATTAATCCACATGGCATAAACATACACACATACAGAAAAGCAGGGCATTTTAAACCCCAGTAAGGACACGGTAGTAGTAGTAGTATAGTAGTAGTATTGGTAGTAGTAGTAGTAGTAGGCCTAGTAGTAGTAGTAGTAGTAGTAGTAGTAGTAGTAGTAGTATAGTAAAAGTAGTAGTAGTATAGTAGTAGTAGTAGAAGTAAAGTAGAAGTAGTAGTAGTATAGTATAGTAGTAGTAGTAGTAGTAGTAGTATAGTAGTAGTAGTAGTAGTATTAGTAGTAGAAGTAGTAGTAGTATTTAATTTCGGTTTAAAAAACAACAAAATGAAACAAACAAAGCGAAATATATGCATAATAATACATACGGATGGATAGAATTAGAGTATTGAATGTAATGAAATCATATTTAGGCAAAAATTGCATCTGTTTAAAGCGTGGTATACTTGCACTTTGCCTTCGTGAATTTATTTTATTTCTAAGAACTTTTTCTGTAAAATGTATTATTTTCAGATGTGATTTATAAGTATTTCCCCAAAATATAATTATAAAAATAAAATTACTCAAATATGCACATTCCAATCCAAAGACTGATTGTAACACCGAGGAATATCACATTTTTCAAATTGGATGTAACACGATTATCAATGATAACAGGAAATAAATTATGAATTGTATAAATTATTGGGCACTTTTCCTTTCCTTGGCCTAAATATGACATCGTTTGTTTTAGTAATAGTCAAAGATAATTTATTTACTTTAAACCATGTAGAAAAGTCCCTATTTAGTGATGAGATGACCATTTTTATATTATACTGTTACTTATAAGATCACATTTATCATCATCATCAAATCAAGAAAATCGGCGCACTTTGGTGCGTAAAGGAGATGTTTTCCCATTGGTTTTAAGAATGAAATAATGGCGACAGATTTCAAAACAGGTATCTGAAAATTTGCTCACATAATTATTACTTAAACAAATTTTGAATGATCTGAGAAATAGTAACATATGAAAATAGCAAATTACACATGTTATTGTACTTGTGATAATGAAATTGTCCTCAGGATATAGCTTTCTGCGCATATGTGCTCTATTTATTGTTCGCCTATGTTTAAACTAACAATGGTCATTACAGTCATTGTGATGACAGGGTAATATAAGTGCATGTATCGAATCGTGCAAATGGCGGAGCTGTTCCTATCATAAAAATAACCTTTAATTTCCAAACTCTTTTGATACTTCATTTTACTTAGAGTGATTAAGATGTCGAGTCCTAGAATGAACAATTTAATCGTGATTGGAATCATCATCGCCTACTTGTCAGCTGTACTGTTTGGTCTTGATTATGACAGAATGAGTGACGTAACCAGAAAGTACATCTGCACGGTAAATATACATTAATGCATGTGTTGTCAGTGTCACCCAAAACAAACAAAATCAAAAGTCTTGATTTTTGTTTAACTGCACAATTTTCTTGATATTCTGAATTTTTTCCCTTGACTTTTCTGAAATTCGTTTTGGAAGAGATGTACAAGAACACCGAAGAATAGCTTTGAGTAGAGACATTTGTGAAGCAATTTGTTTTTCCCCTTTCACTCATCAAAGTAAAACGAAATGAGCAGGGCGCTTGGGCTTTTTATTTAAACATGAAGATGATAAATCCAGGTCATGGTATCGTTCGTGAGCAGTCAATTAGGGACAAGCATGCAATATTGCAATTAAACATCTTCATTCTGTATCTAATGGCAATTCAGATAATAATAAAAATAGGAGCTCTCTATTATCTCCTTTTTGACGGATCGAATCGGCATGCAATTTTCTTTTTGAATTACCTTTGTCCTTCATTTATATTTGACTCCAAGGCTCGCCTATGGACAATTACGATCGCTTTCACACTCGCCTTCGGCGGAATGTTTACCAAAATGTGGAGAGTTTATACAATCGTCATCTACAAGAAGACACAGCGAAAGGTATCATTGTCGACGAGTCAGTGTGTGTTCCATATGTAACAAAGATCGTGATGATAAAGCATATCTTTGCCTACAATTTGATAACATATTCGAGGGCACTTTGAGGTTCATGTAATCATACATTTTTATTATCGAATGAGCTAATTTATTTTCATTTAATAATGTAGTTCTTCTTTTTGAGATTCCTTCTGGATGGAACATGAAATAAAACGACAAAAAAACAATGCTTTAAAAAAATATATTATAAACACAAACTACTAAAATGTATACTTCTTACATTAACCATGGACCTACTAGGTCCATGCATTAACTATACTAAACGACCTTTCTTCGTGGTTGAAATGATTATTATTCTGGGCCGTATCAATAAGTCTGCCATAACATCAACTAAAAGTGCCACTAGTTTGTGACAAATTTGTCTACCGCCAAGCTTTTATGATTTGTTTTGTATTGTTTCTGATAAGAATTATCATGACATGTGATCAATGCATACAGGTAATCAAGGACATCCAGCTGTTTGCCATCATAGCTGCATTCCTCATCATCGACCTCATCATCCTCATCTTGAGAGAGATCATTGATAGCTATTACATCATCGAGGAATCAACAAGAAAACCCCAGGTGATTTTTATTCCAAAGCTCCCCCCCCCCCCACCTACATTCGAAACGTTCTCACGACGTCACAGATGATTGAGGTTGTCATAATCTAATAATAAGCAAACAGAAGGCCTAAACTGCATTGTCCTATTCATAGACGGATCCAGAATTGGACACTCCCTATTGATAAGACAAAAGATAGGAAAAAGAACAAAAAGAGTATAATTTGAGATGTTTCATCAAACTTCTCCACCCGCGAGTATGGGAGAGCCAGTGAAATTCCCGATATCATGTTCCCGGATGTCCCGACCCCTATACCCTTAAAAATATCGTGCATTTGCCTCTTGTCCTGTCCGACTGACCATCAGGGACTCATGTTCTAACTCTGTCTATCAAAGAGAAAAAACGCCATCGATAAAAATAGTATTGCATGTGATGAAAATATGTAAAGAAATGTCTTGAATTCATATATACATCCATCCATCATCATCATCATCATCATCGCAAACACATTTAAATTAATCATGTTTTAAACTAATAGACACATAATATAGCACATTTGTATGAGGTTCCTCAATAAGACAGAATCAGCAAAATCAGAATGACAAAAATCAAACTATAAGCATCGCAGTAATGTAGATAAGTTAGATAATTTATTTATTTATTTTATTTATTTATTTAAAAATATTTATACAGGATGACAATATCAACCAAGGCTGTTTTTCATATTGGTCCTGTATATACATACATGGTAAAATACAAACATTGAAATACAATATATCAATGAAATACAAATATCATTGAAATATGCAAAACATGAATAGATTAATGAATATTGAATAATATAACATTTTATAAAATAACCAGCAACTGGATACATATATTTACATTCAAAGGTTTACCCAGGATCACAAAAAGAATGATTTGAAACAATGTACGAAAAAGAAAAAAAAAACTAACAAACTTGTATTTATTACAGTAGGGTAAAAAGATATATATATACACACATCCATGAGGATATTGGTTATTTACAACATTAATGAAAGTACAATCTTTTATAAAGGTATTTAAATGAAGAAATAGATGTAGAATTCTGTAAGTTAATAGGTAATGAGTTCCAGATAACTCCTCCTGAGTACATAAGACTGTTCTTAAAGCATTCTAGATTAGGTTTTGGTAATATTACATTTGTTTTGTCAGCGGCTCTAGTATTTAAGTTATGTCTATCGCAGACCATTTCAATAGCATTACACAGATGTGTTGGTGCAATACCATGTACAGATTTATACATTAAAACAGCTAAAAAATAATTTCTCCTATCGTCAAATGATTGCCATTTCATTAATTTTATTAAATCATCACCTCTAACATTTTCATAGTCATAGTTGGATGTAATTATACGTGCTGCTCTCTTTTGTAATCTTAAGAGTAACTCTTTATTTTGCCTTGAGCAATTTCCCCAGACTGTGCATGAATAGTCAATACATGGTAAAATAATTGTATTATACATGAGCTTTAAGGATTTGACATCTAAAAATTTGGACATATTACGTAATGAGAACAGTTTCATAGAAATCAATCTGGTAAGTCTTTTAACATGAATATCCCAAGTAAGGTGTTCATCAATTTCCACCCCTAAATATTTAAAATTATGAACCTGTTCCATTTTCGTTCCATCCATGTATATATTCAAGTTATATGCTTTACGTGTACTTAAAAGCATAATTTTGGTCTTTTCAGCATTAACTTTTAAATTATTCTGAGTATACCATCTATGTATTGAATGAACATCATTTTGTAACAATATGGTTAGTTCATCAATATTTTTATGAGAAGTATATATAACAACATCATCAGCAAACATATTACAGGTACATGTCTTCAAAGACTGAGCTATATCATTAATAAAAAGTAGAAATAAGATTGGTCCGAGGACACTCCCTTTGGGTATTCCATTTGATAATGTCTTTGAGTTTGAGAGTATACCATGACAGAAAACCATTTGTCTCCTTTCAAACAAATAACTACTAAACCATTTCAACTGTTCATCCTTTATACCATAACATTGTAGTTTCTTAAGTAATAATTTATGGTCAATTGAATCAAAACATTTGGAAATATCTAAAAAGCACGCAGCTACTAATTCTTTTTCATTAAAAGATTCCAGCCAATCATCTATAGTTCTATGAATACATGTATTGGTTGAATGGTTGGGTAGAAAAGCTGATTGATCAATAGAAATCAATTCATTCAAGCGAAGATAATTCAATAATTGTTTTTGGATGACTTTCTCTAGAATTTTAATTACATGGCAGGTTACAGATATTGGTCTATAGTTGGTTGGATCATCTTTTTTTCCCTTACCCTTATATATAGGTGTTACTTTTGATATTTTCCAATCAGACGGAACTGAGCCATTTCTTAGACTTGCATTATATAGTAAAACCAATGGTTTAGATAGAACTGATGCTCCAATACAAAGCAATTTAGAATCTACATTAAATAGGTCAAAATTACTTACATTTCCTAATTTGCATAACAATTCATAAACAACACTTTCCTTTAGTCTTTGAAATTCAAAACTATAAATACATTCTGGATGTTTCCAGCTAAAATCGTCATTTTTTGGTTTATTCATTTTTCCAACTGATGCAAAAAAATTGTTCAATTTATCAGCACTTAATTCATTAGGCAATACATCATTTTTACGTTTCCTGCCCGTGATCTTATTCAGCTCACGTCATATTTTTTTACTATCTTTTTTACAATCTCGAATAACATCCTTGGTATAATCCCTCTTATTATCACGTCTTAATCTAGTAATACGGTTTCTTATGCATTTATAATCTTTTTTTATTGCTGGGTCGATATCAGATTTCCTCTTTAAAAAATCTCTTTTATAAATCAATTGGACTAATTCTTTTGAAATCCAGGGACAATATCTTTGTTTCATACGCATAGTTTTAAGAGGTGCATGTTTATCACATACCTTAGTAAAAGTTGATTTCCATTTAAACCATTTTTCATCAATATTATACGTATCATCTTCAAAATCAAGATTACTGGTATCAAAGCTTCTTTCTAAGTCCTGTAAAAAAACATCTCTATCAAATCGTTGATAATCACGAAAAGTAACCTCTTTGTGATTATTATGTTTGGTCATTGAAAAATTTATGCATGTATAGATGAGATAATGGTCACTTAATGAAATCTTTGCAACATTGGTGACAGCATGTCTTTCAGGTATCGTAGTTAAAATATGATCTAAACATTTTGAAGAATTGCTTGTAACCCTAGTAGGCTTCAACACTAATTGTGTCATGAGAAATAAGTTTTCAATCAAATTAATTGGATTATTACATAAATTATGGTCTAAGATGTAATCATAATTAAGATCACCTAATATTATAAGTTCCTTATTTTCTTGTGACACCTTTTCTAATACATCCAATAGATTATTAAAATATGATACATCAGCATTTGGTGGTCTATAAATAGAAGACATCAATACTTGTTCATGATTAAAAAACATTTCAAACCAAATACCTTCCAATGAATTACTTATCAGATCATGTCGCAATGTGTATGGAATAGATTTTAAGATATATACACAAACACCACCACCTCTTTTCTTGTTCATAGTCTTTGGTCTATCCTTACGAATTATTACATAATTGTCTATAAAAACATCATTATCATTTATCTGATCATGTAGCCATGTCTCTGAAATACATAAAACATCAAATTTTATTTTTATAAGTAATAATCGAATCTCATCTATTTTATCTAATAAACTCCTAACATTTAAATGCCCGACTTTAAGACCATTATGTTTAGATAATTTAAAGTTACATTTGGAATATTCATTACTATGTTTTAGATTTGTGGTATGATGAACATTATCAGATATATCATTAGCAGTTATATTGGAAACACGGTTATCATATTCATTCTCCTCTTGAGCAGTTACAGAGTGGCCATGATGTACTATGGCGCTCTCTTCTTGGCCTAATGTTCATATATAACAGTTTTTTTATCTTGTGACCATACTCGAGACAGTTTCTGCATTGCAAAGGCGCACCATGTCGACAGCTTAATGCATTGTGGTTTGGTTCTCCACAGTACTCACATCCTGGTCCTTGAAGTACTGAGGCATATGTAGGGCGGGACATGAGCTCCTTTTTTTTTTTTTTTTTTTCCTTTTAATAATGCTACTTCCATAATGTTAAATGAAATATTTTTAGTTAAAATGTGAAATATTACTTTTCATTTAATTATCTGCCTTTGACAGACGGCAGAGGATATTCGACATGATGTGGTGTTTGTGGATTTTCACAAGAACTGTGTGTCAACACGCGAGACGGTCTGGTTGACAATGCTGATGGTTATTAAACTATTCGTTATGATTTTCGGTGCTCTCCTCGCTTGGCAGACAAGGTTATTTATTGTTCGATGTTTCAGGGTACATTTGTGATGTTTGCAGTCACTGATTGGTCATTATTAGATTGATACAGGGATGATGTAAAGGTATGTTATGGAAAGTTTTTGGTGCGTCATTTTTTTAGCTGTTGTTATGATGGATAAATATTGTATGGAACGATAGGATATGGTGCTGTTTAATGTGAAGTATAGTGTGGTGTCGCGTGATTGTGTGTAGTATTGAGTGTTGCCGTGTGGTATCATGTAGTTTAGTGTGCATGGTGTCGTGTGTAGTTGTGTTGTGAGGTGTGTTGTAGTGTGGTGTCGAGTGTTGTTGTGTGGTGAGGTGTGTTGTAATGGGATTTCGTAAGATGTCATGTACGTAGTATGATGGTTTTATGTCTGCAATTTGTTGCCAATCGGCTTGCCTTCTATGTATGTTGTAATTAATACAGTATGGTTTGGTCTTGTCTGGTGTGGCCTGGGCCCCGTTTCTCGAAACCGTCATAAGTTTAATTTCTTGACTATCCCGATAGTCAAGAAGTTATAAACTTATGACGGTTTCGAGAAACGGCCCCCTGATGTCAATGGTGCAGTTGGTAAGTGCTGGTTTGATTTATCCAGTGCGATGTGGTGTGATGTGGTGTGGGGGAGTGTGATTATTTGCTTATCGTGTAGAAGAATTTGATGTTGTGTTTTGGGTGTCGTAAGATGTGATTTGATGGTAGTTCTGTGTGGTGTGGTGTGGTTGGATGTGGTCTAGTATGATGATGTGGTGTGGAATCGTGTGATAACCTTTGGTTTGATGTATGTAGTGTGATTGTGATATGGAATGATGCAGTGTGAAATGACTGTGGTGTGGTATGTGTGGTAGGTACTGTGTGATATGATTCGGGGTGGTGTTGTGTGATGCGGTGTTATTTAGTTTGATATGATTTGATTTTTATATTTTAAACGTTGTACTAGTTGTTATGTGCATAGTGTGGTATGGTATGTGTGTTGATACCGTGTGAGGTAACGTGCTATAATGAATAATAAGTGTGATGTTATCGTTTATACACATATTGTCATCATTTTCACTTGTGTTTCATCATGATACAGGAATGTCAACGTGCCTGCTTTGAATGATAGTTACCACGTGGGACTTTCTATTTATAACGTCGCTATTTGTTGTGCAGTAGCAGTGCCACTTAGTATCTTCAAAGTGGGCAACCTTGCTGTTGCCTATGGGTTAGTGGCTTCGTTTATGCTCCTATGTGCAACCACTACACTGTGCCTTCTCTTTTTCCCTAAGGTGAGTTAATTGTGCCAAAGTTAGTGGTAACAGCGATTTGTTGAACTATTAGACAGAAACAAACCATCCTGTAACGATCATAATGAAACAAAGACAAAAACGTGTTTTAGCTTTGAATAGCACCAAGGTCAAGAGATGGTGATGTGTATTGGATCCGTCTTGCTTTGTCTACACCTGACAACACTATAGGCTTAAACCGACCATCACGTTATAAAACGATTTTTAGATCATTTTTTTCTTCACTTTCAATATTTTTTAAACGTTTTTTAATATGATCAGGTTCACACTCTGTTTTCATATAGTGACAGTATTTTGTCTGCTATAGCCGCCGAAGCCGTACAATGTACGACCCTGCCTCTTCAGTGCATACACCACGTCCATGGCTGTGACAGTCTTTCGCTTGGCGCCAGATCACAGCCAGAGGCAGTGATCTTCCTGGAGAATGTCATCCGTGATGCAGTCACCTACTGCGAGCACGCCAAGCGAAAGACTGTCACAGCCATGGACGTGGTGTATGCACTGAAGAGGCAGGGTCGTACATTGTACGGCTTCGGCGGCTAAGTGTAGCAGACATCTGCAAATTTCGCTTAATGATTCCCACTTACATTGGAGTGGATCCCTGGTTTTAGAATCAGTGTGATTTTGTTCTAATCCTGCATTGACGCAGAATCAGTAAAATATTAAACCACATGTGAACATTACTTCATTGCATTTTTAATATCATGCTATAATGTACGTCAAACTAATATGAGTACGACTTTCCTCACCGATCATAATAGTTTTTCTAAATGGTACCTTATAGTGTGGTCGTCTAGTCGTTGATCGTTATGATTCAGTTAAATCCCTCTGATTTTGTTTTCTATTGTCAGGCACTTGCAGTCCGTCGTGGTCTCAACAGCGTCGGGCCCGATCACCGAATCAAAAATATATCCTCGACAATCGAAACTTCAAGTACCCGGAATGAGACGGCCAGGTTGAAGGCGAGAATGCCTGTCACATCAGCTTGAAGTAGTATCATAGGCAACTAGGAACAATCTATAACGAGTGGACTGTTCTAAATCATTATACAAAAACTTTATTTATTTCTAGTGACTATATACCTGAACACAAATTGCTGAACATTCCTTTTAGTTGGAGGGGACTTTAGTGTTATTTTCGTTTTAATTCATCATTTTGATCAGATCATACTGGGTTTCATAAGAATGTAAGAATATTTTCCTTCACGAACGACAATGAACAATTATTAATTGAACCAGGATTTCGCAGTGTATTCGGTATATTTCGGATGAGTATATCTCTTTCTTTTGGTTGACCATTTCACCAAACTGAGCTCTGTTCACTCCGACTAGTCCAATTTCTCACACTTGCACCCTGATTGTGTTTTTGTTTTTTTTCTGCTCATATTTGAATCCGATTACATTTATCTCTTTTATTTCCATTTTTCCATATTAGCCTATTTGTTCTCTTCTTATGGAATATTCTCTGTGCACTATATATCACTTATACATTGCTCACGATTTTACTTACCTATACCTGTCCAACTGCACTATCCGTAAGATAAATCAAATTTGTGATTGGATTTTGCACCATATTTTAACTTTTGTTTGTGCAGAAGTCGACTAAGGTATATACAACATTCAATATTGCTGGATCACATTTCACTTCTTCACTTTGTACATAATCAAATCAAAACAAACTCATTCTTCATGTTGTCTTAATGTCCTTTTTTCATTCCCCGCTCCTCCTGTCGTCCTCATATTTAGTCCTTTCATTATCCTCTCTTCTATTTGCTATTCTGTCTTTTATGCCAAACTTTTGTATTTCAGTCTCAGTTCTCTATCGCTGATTCCCCGCCCCCTTCTTCTCTCCTCCTTGAATATGTCGATTTTATGTCAATGCTTAAAGTCAGTGTCTAAGAAGGAGCTATTAAACATTGTGTTCTGAAAAACAGTAAAAAACAAAGGCTCGAATTTCAATTCCATTCGACCTTTGATTATAAGTTCTGATGTATACAAGATAGAGTAATAGTTATAGCAAACATCAGTATTGAATTATTAAAACACAGAGAAATTTTGATTTTTATAGGCCATTTTCGTAATGTAACTAAGTTTATGCACATGCCTTTGACTTTGTGAAGCGCCTCGATACGAAATATTTCACTCACCTGTTACGAATACAATTATAACTCAATATTCAGAATGCAAATTAGTTTTGCTAGGTAAGACAAACATGACTTGTGCATGCTAACTAGCAACATGTAATAATTATATGCAATTTGCATTCTAACTATTAATATATAGTTATTCGTATCGAGGTAGCTATGTATAAATTTGGTTACATTACGAAAATGGTCTATTGCATTAAAGAGTAGGAATATTAATTTGGTGCCCCATGTACGAGTGCCTTATATTCCATTTTCAAACGATCTGGAGGTTCAAGAATGTAAAAGTAGAACCTTATGTAAAAAGGACAAAATAGGACAAAATGCTCATTTGTAGGGATGCTGTGTTCTACTGTACCAGCTATATATTTGAACATCATTTCTTAGTCTGCTTTGATCATTTCATTCAAATTCGGGTTCACGATTAAGAATTCACAAAATTGTCAACATTGTTTCGATAATGAGATCATGACATGTAATGGTCCTGGTTTTGTTAACTGACTGGTGAATATAATGTATCTAAAGTGTGTATTGATTAAAAAGTTCCTAAATTAAAAGCAACTTTACTTGCGTGTAATTGGTGTGGAAAAAATTCATGATTGTGTATCATTTATTTATTCATTAACGTTTGAAACTTGCTGAATTATATATACAAATCTTTATTCTCTGATAATAATGATGATGATTATGATGATGATAATGATGATGGCGATAATGATGATGATAATGGTGATGATGGTGATGGTGATAATGATGATGATGGTGATAATGATGATGGTGAATTGAATCGGGGAAGGGCTGTATCTCCTGACTCCCCCCCCCCCCCCCAAGAAGATGAAAATAGCATTGAACTACATAAAAACTACGCATTCAAATTACGCCATCAGGTAAATCTTATTGTGCAAGATTGTCGACACGACCGAGGTATACAATTCCACGTTTTGTAGTGTTATGGGAACTTTTGTAATAGAGCACTATTATCTAAAGAATGAGCTATCATTCAAAAACAGGGGACGACCGCTCAAACATTTTTTTTGCAGGAAGAGGCTTTCCTTTGAGTCGGCGATCCCCAAATTTCCCAATATTTATTAAAATGACCCTAAGGCCTAAAAGAAGAGATGCTGTATTGCCCTTTAGGTGCCAAAACATGGGTCGGTCGGTCGGGAAATTTTTTTTTTTAATATTTTTTTTTTACTCCCTCTTTGTGCTGATATTTCTCAGTTTTGAAATGCTGTAATACATTTTTTTTCTAAAAACCGGTAACCGGAGATTTCAAGATTTTTGGGTCGGTCGCAAAAGGCAATACAACATCTTTTTTTTTAGGCCTAATGCAGGGGCAGAAGATTTTTGCATTTTTTATTAGTCTAAATGCTGCACTCTTGGGCCCTCCAGAGCCTAAAAGTGTGTTGCAGTCTTTAGTCAGTATTTGCTATATACATTTTTTGTGTGCACTTTTTCAAATTTTCCGGGGGATCGCCGCCCCTGCCCTAACTTTTGTAAACACACAATGGAATCTTTGCCTAATATATTGTATCCGAAAGTTAGCAGGTCTTCTTCGATTTTAAAGTTAAAGTATGCTGCGTGGGAGCATGGGGGTGAGCGAGTAGAGCTTCAAATTTGTAATAATTAAAGCATTTCAGAGCCGGAATAGAGTGATCTAGCCTTAAGCTGGCATTTCTTATACATTTTTGTTATGAATCCACGGGATTGCCGCCCATGCTGGCAGTAGAATATTGTATGTGTCTTTCCTTATTGTTGATAGACATTTCACGATACATATATTAGTATTACATTAGGCTATAACATTGTAAAGGGGGCTAGTTGGTATATGAGAGAAAGAGTTTTTGAGGGAAAATACTTTGACATTCAAAATGTTTTGCTTTTGTAATCATAACATTTTTCATTTATAGCCTAGCATTGCAGAGTGTATAGACTTTATTTTTTTACCTCATCCACAGGGGCGTCTCCCCACCTGTCAGGATATTGTCGGTAAAATTGCGCTGCCGTCGGGAAAAGAAAAAAAGAAAAGGAAAAGAAAAGAAAGAAAGAAAAAGAAAGGAAAGAAAGGAAAAGAAAAGAAAGAAAGAAAAAGAAAGGAAAGAAAGGAAAAGAAAGGAAAGAAAGGGAGAAAGAAAAAAAGGGAAAAAAGGAAAAAAAGAAGAAAAAAGAGAGGAGAGGAAAGAAAAGAAACGGGGGATGAAAGAGGAGGAGGGGGAGTAAAAGTAGGTATATCACACCAAAAATAATTACAACAAACACATGTTATTTGATGGTTGCAAATGATCTAGCTTTATGAAAGCTTCAAAAAGCAAAAAACAGAATTGAAATCGGTCAATGTGTTGTGATTTTTTTGGATATCGCAAAATTACCGAAAAACCTGCCAGAAATGGTCAAATTGGCAAAAATGGCATGATTCGACAAAGTTGACAACTCAATTTATCACTTTCTTGGACACAAATAATAAATTAAATTATCAGACACTAAAATATCATCTTTGTGGTAAAAAATTTTAAAAAAGAAAATTCATATATCTATTACCGTTTTGAAAACAGAAGCCAACAAAATAAGTCATTTTTGCCACTTTTGCGAATCTGCAGATATAAAAAAGTTGTGAAAATAACTAAGTCCGCCTAATTAATATGCGCATATGTAATCAAATCAAAACCGAACATGATACATCAGTGAAACCTATGTATATCAGACAGGTATGGAAATATATTTCATTTGAAGGAAAAAAAAAAATCAAGAATATTCATCAAATATGCAAATTAGGTCATTTCAGCTAATTATATATTCGCGCACTCATTATGCAAATTAGGAAAGTCAAACTGTTCATTTTGGGGGCATTTTTTTAAATCATATATTCATAGATCATATTTACACCAAATATTAACCTTAAATTCCAAATACTTTTGCAATGCCAATTAAATATGGCGATGGAAATTACTTGGATCACCGTCACAGCTATTTCCTCATATGTTTCACACATTATTCAGAAAAACCGATCATATGATAAGAATTTGTAGACTTTCAGCTACATCACAGTATATTTGCCTATTTAAAATATGTCAGATTTGAGGATTTATGACGATTTTCCGAGAAACCATTCAACAGGCCATAACATTCCACAGGGACTGAATTTCAGAGTAGCAAAAACTTTGGTGACCCCAGTACAGTTGTGGCTACCTTGAGTATAAATAACAAATTGATTTAATGAGTGAAACACATGAGGATATTGCATTTTTGTAGGGGAGTTTTATACATTGAGGTGCATTTTCACCACGCAGAATGAGCAGCGCGAGTCAATGGGCGATCAGCGGGCCATGTCACACATGGCTGAAAAGACAATATTCTAATTAAATAATTAACATATTTCCCGCATGCCTATAACAATGAAACTACACAAAATTGTAGTTAAAGGTATGCTTGAAATATATGTGAAATAATTTTTTTTTTTTTTTTTTTTTTTTTTTTTTTTTTTTTTTTTTAAATACATTTACAAAAATTGCTATTTCTACCAACTGACTGCTGTTGTGTGTGTGTGTGTTCGCGGGGCAGACTGTTTGCACAAGCAGTGTGATCACCCTAGTAAAAGAGAGAGAGGGTTGTTGGGTGGAGTCGTCTCGTCGAGGGAGCAAGAAAGACACGGGTAAATATGTTGCTGTGTCGGGTCAGCTGTGTCGGTATTCTTGCTCGATCCTCGTGTTCTATATCAATGCAGAAGTTTGAAGTCGGTGAGATGTTTATTGTTGGTCGGCCGACAAGTTTTTTTCCCTACGAACTGTGACGACTTCACTTTCCTATAATATCAGCTAAAGAAATCAGAGGTTTAAAATTTTCGGGGAAACTAAATTCAAACAAGGATTAAGAGTCAACAACGGTACGACGAATCGTCTTCCTTTATCTATATATTGATGAAACGCCAAAAATTCCGCGCTTCGCGCGGGAGGGGAAAACTTCATTTAGACGAGTCGAGAACGGTACAACGAATCGTCTTCTTTCTCTAATACTTTAAGGAAACGCTAAGCTTCGGGGTAACTAAATTCAAACAAGGATTAAGAGTCAACAACGAATTCTGAATTCTGATAAATAGGGCTTAATAAGGCCCAAAAAAAAATTGTTTGGTTGTCCTCGATTGCTTTTCTGGAGTAGGGGCGGGCGGGCGGATTTTTTTTTTTTTTTTTTTTTTTCCATTTTTTTTCCATAAAAAAAAAATCATTGGGATTGTCAAGCATTTAAACAAACAAAGTCTACAAAACACTTTAATATGGTAAAAGACTAGTTTAATGTACAATGAATATCAAGACCAACACAGAAAGTATTTTGGGCTTTGAAATACAGCACCTTTTAAATCTCCATTGTACTACAGCTACTTGCGCCCTTTATGTAGCAAACAATGCCTAATCGGTGACCATTGGTCCCCCATGATCCTCTTTATCTTATATGAAGTGAGAGCTGATTTGATGAGATAACCACCTGTCCAGTGACCTTGCAGGGTGGTCTAATCCCTCCTGTAAACTAGTACAGATGGGCTTTAAAATGAGTTTAAGAATGCTCAAAACCTGATTTGAATGAACGGCATTTTGACATAGAAAAATAAAAATAGCAAGTTTAATAAATACCTAATTGCGTACTGAAAAGACCAAACTGGCAACGGGACGCATTTTGATCCTTGCAAATGCATAAAATGGTATGTTTGGACTTAAAGATTGCTCCCCCCCAAACAATTGAATAACAAATATTAAAAAAAAAAAAAAAAAAATTGAATAATTTTTTTTTTTTAAATGAATTAAAAAAAAAAAATACGAGCGGCCCGAAAATGACGAGCGGGCGGTCGAGGACAACCAAATGATTTTTTTTGTTTTGGCCTAAGCTTGTTGTAAGCATACATCTGTGTTAATTTCAATCTTTTGTTCAATTTTCACTCTCATTGCACAGTTACATGTTGATGTCCTAAATCGGCAGAAAGTTCGCAAGACTGTCCTACGTAAGGCTTGCTCCGAATTCAACATACATCCATCGAGAGACCGCAAGCTGACCAAAAAGGCACTCGCTTCACTGCAGCACACCCTTGTCATTAATAAGTATCGCTTGCTGTATTGCTATGTGCCAAAGGTAGGCTGCACTAGCTGGAAGCAACTCTTCCTCGTGGCCTACGGCATCGTCGATATCAAGGAACGTCAGAAAAGTATGCACAAGGAATCCAACTCTGCTTTCAAGACACCGGGCCAACTGGAACAGACAGAGGCCAATCAGAAACTCCAAGACTACAATAACTTTCTGTTTGTTCGCAATCCTTTTTCACGCCTGCTGTCGGCCTATCGCCAAAAGATGGATGGTAGGAATCCGCAGGATCGCAGGAAATGCCCCTTTTGTCATTCTGTTACCCAGTGGTTTATCAAAAACCGATCCTAAATATCTGAAAGGGAGGAATAAGACTCAACCATATTCGTTCCTGGAGTTTGTTCGATTCGTCATCGCGCAGAAAACAGAAAACGACCACTGGACCGTTCAATACGAGTTATGTCACCCATGTCTGGTCGAGTACGACTTCATCAGAAAGTACGAAACCGTGCAAGAGGATGCAGAGACATTTTTAAGATCGGCGACGAACGATTCCTTGCTCAAGTACCCAGATACTGATCCTGCAAAGCCAATCACAAACAATTCCAGTGATGAGAACATGGTGAAGTACTACCGCACCATCCCGAATGATGTCTTCAAGTCCCTTATCTCTTTCTTCTATCGTGATCTTAGATTGTTCGGTTATTCCATACCGGATGCTATAAAGAGACCACATTTACGGTTGTCGAAATTACAACTGAAGTTAAAGGAACTTGAGTAGCCGTCGTACCCGCTGAGAGAAAAAAAAAGATTCTATGAGGAGTTTATCAAATTGTATAGTGGTACTAAAGTGGATATTTTTTACAACCAAATTAATTGGACAAAATGTTCCCTTGTTACCCATTTCTTAAATATGAAATTGATTTACAAAGTGCAAATAATAAATTTCACTCGTTCGTTTCTTATTCAGTGATTTCACTTATCAGAATGGATTCGGAAATAGCTTTAACGTCTTTTAATTATTTCAGGGTAAGTTTTGAATATGGAACAAGATTTACAACCCTATACAATTTGTTATAATAACATTGTTATTAAGATAGTTTAACTAGCATTCAATACGAGTTTTTTAATTTTTTTTTTAATACTATATTTAGCTGAAATAATGTTAAGGTGATCTGTGATTACGTGTAAAAGGGTAGATTTTTTTTTATCTTTACCGTTCAGCAAAGGCAAATAATGCGACGCAGACGTGAAATTTAATTTCACTGTCACCCTTTTTTACCAAATAATGAACAAAAAATTGTTTATTTTAAAAAGATATACGGTTAGGATACTTCCAGGGGGGTGTTTCACAAAGGTCCTTACTTGAACTTATCTCTAAGTTGGACTTAACAATTATGGAAAGCCGTTAGCATCTATAAAAATTGATTGTGAAAGTTATTTTAAAAGGCATAAAATGTTGATTCAAATCATTCATATTTTCAATTATCAAGGACATTTCATGTTCTTGATGTGGAATTTATAAAAAGTCTAAAATACTTAAATCTTTTCTTTGGAATATATTTTATTTTAAGGGTACAAATGGCTCTCTATAACTTTTAATTCCAACTTAGAGTTAGGTTTGACTTAGGATCTTTGTGAAACACCCCCCGGGAAACCAAAGGTTTGGTAAACTAAGGTCTATAATAGACATATAGAATTAGTTTCGTGAACAACCGATCTACTGAACAGTAAAGAGCATTTCGATGTCCATGTGGAATAGCCCTAATAATTATACACTTGATTAATAAAGCATAGAGTAAAAGTGGATCATTTATTTTAAAAAATCCACTTTCTTTTTTCTTCTTCATAGGAACGTATGGGCTAGTCCAGAATGTAACCGGTTTTTATCTATTTTATTTCGGATATCTCCAAGCCCTACCTGCTGCAAGCCGAAGATGGCGTAATTCACAAAGTTTGGTCAACTTGATTTTACTTGGTCGCAACATCCCGCCCCCCCCCCCCCCCCCCCCCCAGAACGAGAACGGACGGACCCCATGCGTGTTACCAAAATGTCCGGTAAAGGGGTACTTTTCGTGCGACAAAGTCCGGCCCGAGAATTGTCAAAAAAAGGGTGTATTAACTTTTCACCCGGAGATTTCTTTAAAAAGGGGGTGTTTTTCTTTTTTTCTCTCATCTCTTTGGACTCCTGAGAAATTATTCCGAATTTAGGGGGGTACATTGAGCATTTTTCATGATTTAGGGGGTCTCCAAGGCAGGAAAGGCCCGCGAAAAGCCCGCGAAAGGGGGTTCGGAAATGTCCTCAGATAGGGGGTGCTTTCAAAAAGAGGGAACAAGCATAATTATGCGTACCCTGATTAACACTGAGTGCGTATCTCTTGTTTTGTGCTTGCTCAAGCTCAACAAAGTAGTATTTGCCGTATTGTGCCCAAATCGAACCGGGTTGGCCAAACTCTCCTATACCGATGGCGTTGAGCCATTCCCCAAGCACCACTATATCGATGGTGCCAGGTAAAAATGTCAGAGGTAAAAATGCCAGAGGTAAAAATGTCAGAGGAAAAAATGTCAGAGGTAAAAATGTCAGAGGTAAAAATGTCAGAGGTAAAAATGTCAGAGGTAAAAATGTCAGAGGAAAAAATGTTAGAGGTAAAAATGTCAGAGGTAAAAATGTCAGAGGTAAAAATGTCAGAGGTAAAAATGTCAGAGATACCAAAAAAATGTCAGAGGAAAAATGTCAGAGGTAAAAATTTCAGAGGAAAAAATGTCAGAGGTAAAAATGTCAGAGATACCAAAAGATGTCAGGTACAAAAAAAATGTAGGGGGAAAAATTGGCGCCATCATAATATCTCAGCAATTTATCACACAAAATGTCGAGACGTAAGCTACTGGGCTAGTCTATTATATTTTATAAATGACTGTGTATTGTACTTCGTACATGTCCTGAGGATAATACAATGTGGAAAATAATTTTGAAACTTATATTTTGTGATCAGGTTTGCATATATTAATTTCTATCATTTTTCGATATTTTAAATTGGTTGATGTTTTAATGTTTATTTGGTTTTGAGGAAGTAGGCCTAAGTACATAGAATATTAAGATTGAATGAAATACAACAGGAAATCAGTTATAAAGATCGCACAGAAATTACACAAATTCAGTAATTAGACCCATCTTCATGTCCATCCCAGCAAAGACTGTTATGACAAGAAAACATTAATAAAAAGACACGGATGCTTTGTCCCCCTCAATCAATACTTTATTACAAAAGTTTAACAAACAATATCAAAGCTTCGCTTGAAGAATGTCAGATAGTAGGCCTACAAGTGGTACACGTTGAGACATATCTACCCAGGTAGTTTGTCGTCATGTGCTTTCGAGTTTCGGCCATAACACTGCGTAACTTTATATTTAAAAAAAATCATGTTTGTGATTAAGAAACGTGGGAGAAATACAGTATAGGTCCTCAATTTCAACTGTTTTTGTTCTGCCAAATTCATGATACATTTTGTTTAATGTGTAGACTTGTACGAATATGTCCCTGCTGGAAACTGTCGTATACAGTGTATGCCAGCACACCTTTTATAAATCCTGCACCAAATATCCTTCAAACAATATTATCATGTATACAAGCAGTATCATGATCAGGGCGTCAATCCTGGGGGGGGGGACGGGGGGGGGGGGGGGACACGTCCCCCCACGAATTTTCAGGTGGTGAAATGTCCCCCCCCCCCCCCATGTTTTGTCAGAAAAGAAGTTCTTTAATAATTTAATGTAACGTCAAAGCTTCCGCGTGGGAGGGTGGGGGGGGGGACTGAATTCAAACAAGGATTAAGAGTCGAGAACGGTTCAACGAATCGTCTTCTTTCTCTGATAATCAAATGAAACGTCACAGGTTCCGCTGGAGAGGGGGGGGGGACTTTATTCAAACAAGGATTAATAGTCGACAACGGTACTACTAAACGTCTTCTTTCTTTAAAAATGTAATGAAACAGGGATTAAGAGTCGAGAACGGTACAACAAATCGTCTTCTTTCTCTAATAATTAAATGAAACGTCACAGCTTCCGCGCTACGCGTGGGAGGGGGAAAACTGAATTCAAACAGGGATTAAGAGTCAAGAACGGTACAACGAATCGTCTTCTTTTTGTAATAATTTAATGAAAGGTCAAAGCTTCCGCGCTTCGCGCTGGAGGGGGGGGGAACTTCTTTCTTTAAAAATTTAATGAAACGTCAAAGATAAAAAAAAAAAAAAAATAATTGAACCGGTCACCAATGAAAGTACATGCCGTGAAACAGAATAACTGGAGAGAGAGTGTGTGTGTAGCAACATAACGTGGTATAATTTTGAAAGTAACTGTAAAGGTGACATGTAATTGTGCCCCCCCCCCCCCCCATGCTCAAACTCGGATTGACGCCCTTGATCATGATGCTATAAATGTGTACAGTAAAACTATGTTTCTGATATGTTACTCATGAATTAATATTTGTCAATTTCAGAGTTTGATCTCTCACAGCAAATAATTATAGAACGATGTAGCTTAAACAGAACCTCTGCAGAGCGCGCGCTTATCTGGAATGTGATGGTGCGGTTAGCATTTGATGTAACATTGGCGGCTTTCTGCTTTGTATCAGAGTATCAAAGCTGCTTATTGATGTTCTCCCAGACTATTTATACCGCAATAGTGATCGACGATTAACTCTTTGCAAAGCGCGCGCTTCTCTGGAATGTGATGGTGCGGTTAGCTTTAGATGTAACATGGGCGGCTTTCTGCTTTGTATCAAGGTATCAAAGTATCAAGCCCACAAGAAAGTGAAATTGTTGGAAATATGCATTTGTAGGAAATTACATTTTATAGTAGTCATTGCCACGTTTTATAATGTCCATCAATCTTCAGAAGGGACGGTGAAGTGGGGGCGGAGGGGTGGGGGCGGAGGACTCACAGCGTGATATCTTATCCTCTTTTTTTTTGGGGGGGGCTGTGATGACTTTTCTTTTTATTTAATGATTACACCATCGAACCACAACTCGGCCTATAATTATTAATGACCAAACTACTCGATTTTATGCATTCTGTTTTCCCAGAAGTTTGCTCAGTGTACCAGTATCACTTGCTTAGACAAAGGCATATGAGGGGGAGGCAGCCGGGTCACTATGCCCCCAAAAGAAGGATACAGTCCCCCCCCCGTCTCCCCTCGGCAATAATCGGGCAGAAAGTCCCAATTTCGGGCAGAAAGGTAAATAAAAGTTACAGAAAGAAGAAAATAAAGCAGCGCTGAAATTAATGACTGCAGAGCATCCTTCGTTATATCTTTTCGATAAGCCTAATATACAAACATTACCAATATTCAACCTGCAACATGCTTTTTTATATATCTTACCTCTAACATTTTTACCTCTGACATTTTTACCTCTGAAATTTTTTCCTCTGACATATTTACCTCTGACATTTTTACCTCTGACATGTTTACCTCTGACATTTTTACCTCTGAAATTTTTTCCTCTGACATATTTACCTCTGACATTTTTACCTCTGACATTTTTACCTCTGAAATTTTTTCCTCTGACATATTTACCTCTGACATTTTTACCTCTGACATTTTTACCTCTGAAATTTTTTCCTCTGACATATTTACCTCTGACATTTTTACCTCTGACATTTTTACCTCTGACATTTTTACCTCTGAAATTTTTTCCTCTGACATATTTACCTCTGACATTTTTACCTCTGACATTTTTTCCGCTGACATTTTTACCTCTGACATTTTTACCTCTGACATTTTTTCCTCTGACATTTTTACACCGAGCCATATCGATGGCCCATGCCCCAAAAAGACTGGACGCCAAAGCTGGGCGTACGAATTCGTGGATAATTTCACAGAGATTCTAGGAAACTTACATAATTTTGATCACGCCATCTTCTTGCAGCAGGTAGAGGAGAGATCAGGAAATAGTCCTGGAAGTTTGTTAAAATAAAGCTGGTCAGATATTAGACAACTTTAGGTTGAAGGGAAAACTGATGAAAGTTTCAATTAAATCTATAACTGAATATAAGAAAGTTATGAATTTTTGAAAGTTGTAACCGCTATACGTATGGGCACTTCAAATTGGCTGAAGCAGTGATGTAAATTGTGTGTGTAATTGTGTTTTTACAGACGTGTATCAATCAGATATGATTCAGTTTAGTTTAGTTTAGTTTAGTTTCTTTTATTTCACATGAAAAAATAAAATTCATTAACAAAACATAGCATATTTACAACATTGATATTCGTGAACAATAAAGACATCTACACAGCATAAGTTTGTATGGCATTTACACTAAACAATTTCGAAATTACATGTGAAAAAAGGAACTTATTAAAAAGCATAGCTTGTAGAATTAAGTTCCTCGTAATCTTTTTGACACAGTGTCATTCATCATAAGGTAGAAGTATAATAATTAAAAATCAAAGTATACAAACTAAATTTAAACAATGAAATGATATGGATGATAGACGAATGAGAAGAGAGAAAGGGAAGTTTTAGAATAGAATGTTCAAGGTCGGGAGTCACAGTCGGGAAAAAATAGTATAGTTGTGCATTATTTACGTCTGGGGACCGACCTTTAACGTCCTTTAACCGTTAAAATAAAATTCCATGGTACATTTAGAAAGATATGACACGGCGATAATAGACGTGGCAAAAATAATACACTTTTTCGAAATAATCATAAATCATTAACCTAGTTCAACAGTAATGCCAATAGGAAAATATTGATTCAGTCGCAATTATGTGAATAAATCATTACAGAACATGCCGAGCCATTCACAAATTACAACTTTGTTTAAACAATTTCTTAAATGAATTGACAGAGGAAGCCGACAGCCGTTCTCATCGAATTATCTACCTTATATATTCCATTCAAATATAGAAGAAACGTTTGGGCTCCACTTATAACAATCAGCGTGAAATCTAGGCACACATAAACATCCACTGTCTATTTGCCTTGTATGATGCTCATGTACATCATTAGGATTGATTAAGCCTACCTGAAGGTAAGAAGGTGCTAAGTTATGAACGCATTTATATATCATCATAACGCGACTTAACTCAAACCGTTTGTCTATAGTGTCATCCATTGACTTGTGAACAAATCAGCCGACGGTGTGTCATTATGTCTCGTTCAATATTATTCTTGCAACCCTCTTTTGAATTCTTTGCAGCTTAGTTCTTTGGGAATGAAATTTGTTCGACCATACTACAGAGAAGTAATCTAATCGTTGCAGCACTAGACTGTTATAATTATTTAGGCAAAACAAAAATCTTTGCTCTCTGTATCATGCTAAGGTTTTGGGGGTAAGATAACATATACGTTTTCGATTTGTTTAGACCATTTCAATTCTTCATCTATCAAAAGTCCTAAGCACTAGTGAATTGAACTTTTTGGATCAAATTGTCATTTAATGAAATGGTGAAAGATTCAACTTCACTGAGATTAGCACGAGAGCCTATTAACATGACACAAGTATTTTTCAGTGTTAAGAACGAGACGATTTTCCTTAATCCATGCCATGGCTCTGTTTAATGCAACAGTTAGTTTTTCTTCCACAACAGTTGCATCATTTGCACTGACGTCAGCATACATTATCTATGATACCTTCAGGAGTACATTCAGGTAGACTATTAACATATATTTAAAATAAAAGGGGACTAAGATTTGAACCTTGTGGCACACCTAATTCGATGGTTGATGGATGCGACTTGGCTCCTTTGAATTGGGTCACTTGTTGTCGATCACCTAAATGTGATTTGAACCAATTAATATTCATATTACTACAACCTAAACAAGCTATACCGTGTGAGTCAATAAAAAGTTTACACCTAGAAAATTGCTGATTAATTTTAAAATCATCTTTGAACAGTAAATTATTATTATACATCTTATGAAAGAGTGTTTTATCCCAAATCATTTGATATCATTTTTGTGTGGTATGTGTTCATGCTTGGATGAACAGGAGGCATTGTTTGCGAGAGTGCACAAATCGACTTGCGCCAAAGTGATGCCTACAGTATGTATATATTATGTTGGGATTAGCGGAGTAAGGGAATGAATTGAATGTATCAAATGATTGAATGCATTGCATATGCTTTTTGCAGAAGCAAAGTCACAAACACACACGCACACACGCGCACAAATGTTCGTTGATATTTGATATGAGATATTTGATATATGGGCATGATTAATTTTGTTAGGGATGTTATTTGGATCTGCAATTAGCAACATTATTACATATTGCACATAAATTATGCTAATAAGATGATTATGCTAATTATGCTAGTTATTCTACATCTACATAGAATATTTTCTCATGAATTAATGATGAGTCTTTCAAAAGTGATTTACAATGTTGCGTTGCACCATTTTTTAGGCTTTTTATAGATAAACAATGACAATGAAGTCCATACATTGTACATAGTCGTCGGCCTTATGCCAAAAGGGCCTTAACCCCATTTTGGAGGTTATTGAGTTCTTAACATCACCTTGTAGATTTCAACATTCTCTTTAAAATGATGTGCTTCACTTGTTGAAATTCGATTTATTTATGAAGATAGTTATGAATTTCAAAAGGGCCTTAACGCGTATCTCATCTTTTTCCTTACGCCAAAAGGGCCTTAACCTACACGGTAAATAGTATTTTATCAATGACAGATTATTTCGTAATTTCCAATTAATTCAATAAATATCAGTAGAAACACCATTAAAAACATGATTAGTCTACAATAGACACAATGTACTTAAAATAATCACTGAAAGTATATGTCATGAATTTATATCATGAAATCTGAGTGAGATTTAAATTAGGTGTGGATGCATGAAATGCGACCGACTCGTTGAAATACGCAGATGTCAACGTATGGGACTGTAATGAAAATAAACAACGAAAAAGGTGTCCTAAATGTACGATCTCTAAAATATAACTTTACCGAAAGCTGCATTATATTAATAACAATATTCAGATATCAAAAATACTTTTTATAACATCTTAATCAATCAGTTTTATCAGTTTTCGTGATCCAATAGCCGTAAGAGGGGCTTTCTGGCAAACCAACGTTGTTGCGAAACAAGAAAATTTCTTTATGCCAGAAGGGCGCTAACTATGCGCGCGTACGCGCGCATAGTTACGCGTACGATAACGGCAGGTTAAGGCCCTTTTGGCATAACGCCGCGTAGGTAACGCCCCTTTTGGCATAATGCCGAGTAGGTTACGGCCCTTCTGGCATAAATACGCTACATTCAAGCCTTATGCCAAAAAAGCCCTAATATTTTTTTGCACATAGCATGTACAATTCTGAATATTTTATAACACATTTAACACATTTCATGTAAAACTTAATAACTTAACACATTTATCGAAATTGGCTTCAAAAACAAAAAAACGACCACAAACTTTTGATTATTAGAGAGGCCAAAACTTTAAACGCGATTATCTCGGAATGGCCAAAAGCAGTTAAGGCCCTTTTGGCATAAGGCCGATTACGCTAATTATGCTATTTAAGACAATAAATATTGCATTACTTGGAACCAAAAACTGGTGTTATAAATGAATTCCTCGTCATAGCAAACCCTTGAAAAGTCATATTATTCATGTTTTCAGGCTTCCTGGATTGAGATAAGCAACATTATTATATATTGCACATTATGCTAATTAGATGATTATGCTAATATGGCTATTAAAAAAAGTTGCCCAAGGTTGCCAAGCTGGCAACCAAGCTGAATTTACTTCAATACCCATCTAGAACACAAATCAACAATGATGATTATGGTATATAATATGGTACCGTCTACTGGACTATTATTCGATGATGCGGGCAATAATTTAGGTGTCGACCATGAACAGGGTGCGAGTATTTTATTAATAATAGGGGTTAACTGTGCAATGCTAAACTATACTTTCCCTTCCCTTCCTCTCCAAGAGAGTTAGTTATGACTCGTTAGCTATAATGATTGGTATCTACCTGTAGCTTTTATGAAAGCCAACAGAGTGTGCAGATGATCTGCCGGTACCTGTACATAATCACAACAACATCATCATAAGGCTCTGAATAATGGGACAATGAACATTGTGTAGTCCGACTACTTCGTTTGCGTTTTCCTAGCCGAAAGTTTTGAGAACGACATCAATGCTCTTTTGGTGAATCTCGATCCTTAGCCAAATTTCAATCATCGAATTGTTTTACATCGGGCTGAACAGCACACGAATGGATTTTTGTAACATTTTCATCAAAGCCTCCGTAAATGAAGTCGAAGAAAGAGCTGTATTAATTGTCTACAGAAAATGAAGGTGAAACGGCGATTACCTTCCTGGGTCATACTTTTGGTATTCTCGACATCCTTTGGTTTAAATGTCTTTCTCTACATCGATAAACGACCCGGTAAGTAAAGGCACACATCTCTAAAAATAGCTCAATTTCGGTAGTTTTTTAGTGGGACGTTTTGAATATTACATAAATTTGTTGAATAATAATATTATCTTTGTCAATTCCGGGCAGATCATTTTATCTTTGTAAAGTCGGGTCAGATAATATGGTCTTTGTCAAGTCAGGGCAGATAATATCTTTTTTTCGTCGAGGCAGATAAAATTATCTTTTTTTCGTCGAGGCAGATAAAATTACCTTTGTAAAGTCGAGGCAGATACTTATATAATATTGGATGACTTGAGTGTGGTACAAGACTTTATTGCTCGAGCTGTGAAAAATATTAAACGAGTCGGAGACGAGTCCAATATTGCCATATTGCCATATTTAATACACTTATTAATTATTGTACCACTTGGTTATACATGGATTTATGAACAAATAGTGCAACGTTATCCATTAATCTCTCGGGAACAGGTAACCAGTGTAGTTGTTTAAACAAAGGAGACACAATGGTCATATTTTCTTGCATTTAAGACAATACGGGCTGCACGATTCTGGATTCGTTGAAGTCTATCAATATCCGAAATTTTAATATTAATTAAGAGAGAGTTGGCATTATCAAGACGGTTCAAACCAAGAGAGCAAGTAGCATAATGGCATGCCTCATCAGTTAACATCCTTCTGACCCTAGATAATTATAAATTATGTTATACAAATGACTTTTTTTTTTGACCCCGCAAATGTGAAAATCGCGCCGATCGATATTTCGCTCGGGGGGGGGGGGGGAGGGGGTGAGGAGTATTCCTATTTTTCAACAAAAAAAATGAGGGGGGGGTTAACCCCCAAAACAATCCTCCTGCGTACGCGCCTGTTTCAAACTAAGTTTATGAGACAATTGGTTACAAATGGATATTGCAATAGAACGAACCTCGTAATATAATGTACCAGACAAAAATAAATCTGAGTGCAAACGATGCAACAACACTTTTTGCCCTGCTTGTTTATTAAAAAGAAATCAATAATAATGAAGGTCATTTCCATAAGTGTAATGTATTCGTGTATTGCTGACTTGTTAATGTTCAATTATTATTTACTGATATTCACGTAAAACATCTTATCGGAAGTGTATTTTTGCCATGTTATTTGTGGTACATGTTATAATTTGAAAAGAATATATGAATTTGAATCAAGCAGAATATAAATAAAATGAATTGAACCTATTTCTTCCGTGCAGCCTCGAACAACTTGAATCCAATGTTCCCCAGAGTCATACCTAAGGATGATGATAATGACGAATCGGAAGGAATTGTTGCTGTCGATGAAGATCGTCAATCTGCCGTTGGTGATCGCCCAGCTAAACTTGAAGAAAAGACAAAAACCACAATGAAGGTAAACCAAATCTTTGTGATAACTGCTTAACTTTCATTTATACTAAGAATTCTCTCTAATAAAAATCCTTTTTAATCTCATACCATCTTGAGATTAGCGTAATGTTTCATTTTTGCCAGGGGTTGACTTCTCTATCCCAGATATCACATTGCCACCTACTAAATTTGATAGAGAACTCAACAAGCGACGAAAAATTCTTCACAATAATTATTATAGTGATCATGGTGAGAGAGGAATTTAGATATATTGTTGTTGGTCGTCTGTTCAAATTACTACCCACGAAAGATGTGGACATTTATGAAATTATTAACTATTTGGAAAAAAATCTTTGCAGAGAAGGAAAAGAAAGTTTTTTTTTCTTTCTTTCTTTCATCATAAGCAATTTTTTTCTTCTTCTGAGGTGTCTTCATTTTAAAGCTTTTAATGAATGCATGGTCTGGGGGTCGTTCCATGAAACAATTATTAGTCGGTGGTTTACACCGACTAATATCATTTTCACCGACAATTCTATTGTCACCGACTATTTTCCAGGCCTGTGATTGGTCAAATTTAGTCAGCGCTGACTAAATTGTCGGTGAAAATGATATTAGTCGGTGAAAACCACCGACTAAGTGTTTCATGAAACGCCCCCCACTGATTTCACTGAAGCAAATACCGTCATTTTCAATTTTCGTTACGGTCCGACAGGTTAGGGCTCTTCTCAAATCGACTGTATAACTAGGTGGATAAATCGACCAAACATTTGAAATTATATGTTTTATGTTTTTTTTTTTTTTTTTTTTTTTTTTTGGTGGGGGGGGGGTCGCTTTGCAGGTAAAAGATTGGGATGGCGCCCTCTTATAAAACATTTTAAAACAAAAGCCATAAGCTTGTTGTAAAGCATAAATCTGTGTTAATTTCAATCTGTTGTTCAATTTTCACTCTCATTGCACAGTTACATGTTGATGTCCTAAATCGGCAGAAAGTGCGCAAGACTGTCCTACGTAAGGCTTGCTCCGAATTCAACACACATCCATCGACAGACCGCAATCTGACCAAAGAGGAACTCGCCTCACTGCAGCACACCTTAGTTATTGATAAGTATCGCTTGCTGTATTGCTATGTGCCAAAGGTAGGCTGCACTAGCTGGAAGCAACTCTTCCTCGTGGCCTACGGCATCGTCGATATCAAGGAACGTCAGAGAAGTATGCACAAGGAATCCAACTCTGCTTTCAAGACACCGGGCCAACTGGAACAGACAGAGGCCAATCAGAAACTCCAAGACTACACTAACTTTCTGTTTGTTCGCAATCCTTTTTCACGCCTGCTGTCGGCCTATCGCCAAAAGATGGATGGTAGGAATCCGCAGGATCGCAAGCAATGCCCCTTTTGTCATCCTGTTACCCAGTGGTTTATCGAAACCGATCCCGAATATCTGAAATGGAGGAATAAGACTCAACCATATTCGTTCCTGGAGTTTGTTCGATTCGTCATCGCGCAGAAAACACAAAACGATCACTGGACCGTTCAATACGAATTATGTCATCCATGTCTGGTCGAGTACGACTTCATCGGAAAGTACGAAACCGTGCAAGAGGATTCAGAGACGTTTTTAAGATCGGCGACGAACGATTCCTCGCTCAAGTACCCAGATACTGATCCTGCAAAGCAAATCACAAACAGTTCCAGTGATGAGAACATGGTGAAGTACTACCGCACCATCCCGAACGATGTCTTCAAGTCCCTTATCTCTTTCTTCTATCGTGATCTTAGATTGTTCGGTTATTCCATACCGGATGCTATAACGAGACCACATTTACGGTTGTCGAAATTACAACTGAAGTTAAAGGAACTTGAGTAGTTTAGGCCACCGTACCCGCTGAGAGAAAAAATGGTTCTAAAAGGGTTTTATCAAATTGTCCATAGGTACTAAAAGGTGATATCTTTTACAACCCAATTACTTGGAGAAAATGTTTCTTTTTTTACCAATTTCAGAAATATGAAATCGATTTAGACAATGCAAATAATAATTGAAGACCGAATCACGTTTAACAAAATATAAAATAATCTTGATGCAATGGTTGGCGGGAAAAATGGTGTTACCTATAATTCTCTCGTTTGTTTCTCATTCAGTCATTTCTCCTTTCAGAATGAAATCGAATATAACTTTGATCTTTTTTAATTATTCCAGAGAAACTGTTGAATAAGGGACAAGATTTACAACCCATACCATTCGTTATTTGTTATTAACAGAGTTTAAATAGCATTTAAAGGTGAAATTCAAAGAAAATCACAAATATGTCAACTAATGTATGACTAGAAACTGGTAAGCTAACAGATGGCCATCGTACAAGTTTTAGGTCAACTCCCGCCGCCCCCCCCCCCCCACTCAGTGTTATTTAGGGTACGCATATGCGTGTTCCAAGCGACCCCCCCCCCCCCCTTTCAGCAAAAGTCCGGTGTGTAAAGTCAATACGGGTCGACCTTTTTCTTTTGTTATACGAACCTTTTTCAGCACCCCCCCCCCCCCCCCTTTTCAGCAAAAGTCCGGTGTGTAAAGTCAATACGGGTCGACCTTTTTCTTTTGTTACGAGCCGGACATTTTGGTAACACGCATGGGGTCCGTCCGTTCTCGGAGTGGGGGGGGGGGGGCCGGGGGTCAACTACAAATCGGGTGATTTATAAAAATACAAATACAACCACCTGCATAGCAGCTGGGATATACGAGAGATTCGCAGAAAAATAACGATGTTTTAATGACGTCACTACATGGACCAATACTGCCCAAGCAGACGACATCCCATAAAGAATGAACATAATTGCTAAGCTTTTATTTGTCAAATTATAATGAGTTTAGTGTATATAAATGTGATCGCATGTCAAACCGTTTAAAAGGGGATATGACCCGATTCCGATAACTAAAATCTCTTGCTTGTAAATACACTGGATATGGGTTAATTAACAATAAAGAAACCAGACTTTCGAATTGAAAACCCCCCGGAATAATATTAAGGACGGCATTTGTTCCCTCTTGAAACGCCGAACATAATTATCGCGTTGTGTGCAGCTGAATATTCAATGGCGTCTTATTTTGTTTACAAGCGACAGATTCCTTTATTTTTGTATCGCTGCATTTTTCATCAAAATAAAAACATGTGCGGGGTTTAGAGTGAGGCAATCGATTATACATTTAGCCTGACGGTAGTGAAGTAAGAGAAAGAACTCAAGAGAAGATGAAAACACAGGCACTGAAAATGTGTGAGATGTCATGGGACATCGTCTGCTTGTGCAAATCGTGTCCATACTGTGATCTCACACATCTCAGCAGCGTTCGGAGAGCTCTTCAGGTGCTATGCCGGGGCTGTATTTAAGGGGTTTATAATTTATAATAATCATTACTTCGAATGTTTCCAAGCATTGAATTTTGATAACCTTGTCGAATCAAAGTTTCAACTTTACAATAATGAAATTAAGTTAGTTTTTAAAATCAATGAATATCTACTTTAATAAGAGTTTTTTTAAAAGTTGTTTAACCTGTGATAACGTGTAAAAAGCCGGGTAAGAAATTTCATCTTTATCGTTTAGCAAAGGAAAATAATGCAGCACAGACGTGAAATTTAATTTCACACCTTTTTTCTCCCAAATAAGGAACAAAACTGTGTTTATTTTAAAAAGATATACTGTTTAAAGATAAAGTTGAGTTCTTGGCATGTGATTGCATTATGAAAGAAAAGTTGTGGACTCGATCAGAAAAGCTGATCATAAGTATTGGTGCGTACTGCAAGGTTCTGGAATCATCAAAATGATAAGAAATTTGGCCCAGTCTTGGTAAATCTACAAGCACTGTACACAGAAAGATGTATTATGGGACTGCACGAACATTGTGACATAAAAATCCGTCCCGATTTGTACATTTTGAAATAATCACTCCTACAGCGATGGAAGTGCTACATAAATAGCCTTTGTTTCACCTTTTCAAAGAATACTTCCACCTGTGTATCATGGATTGCACTGCTTGTGCATGAATGAATAATGATTACATAACTGTCATGAGCACGTATCCAGTATTTCGTCTCCGTGTTTTTCACAATTTGTTCTGCAATGACCTTTAGGCCCCCCCCCCCCCCCCAAAAAAAAAAAAAAAAAATTTGGTTGTCCTCGATTGCTTTTCTGAAGTAGGGGCGGGAGGGCGGATTTTTTAATTTGGTTGTCCTCGATTGCTTTTCTGAAGTAGGGCGGGAGGGCGGATTTTTTTTTTTTTTTTTTTTTTAATTGTTTAACTTCATTTCTTTTTTAATTTTTTTTTGTTCTTCATTAAATAAAAAAAATCATTGGGATGTCAAGCATTTAAACAAACAAAGTCTATAAAACACTTTAATATGGTAAAAGACTAGTTTAATGTACAATGAATATCAAGACCTTTTAAATCTCCATTGTATACTTATAGCTACTTGCGCCCTCTATATAGCAAACAATGCCTAATCGGTGACCATTGGTCCCCCACGATCCTCTTTATCTTATGTTAACTGAGAGCTGATTTGATGAGATAACCACCTGTTCATTGACCTTCCAGGGTGGTCTAATCCATCCTGTAAACTAGTCACAGATGGGCTTTAAAATGAGTTTAAGAATGCTCAGAACGGCATTTTGACATAAAAAAATAAAAATGGCAAGTTTAATAAATACAGAATTGCGTAGTGAAAAGACCAAAACTGGCAACGGGACGCATTTTGATCCTTGCAAATGCATTAAATGGTATGTTTGGCATTTAAGATTGCTCCCCCCCCCCCAAAAAAAAAAAAATAAAAATAAATTAAAAAAAATATATATAAAAAATTAAAAAAATGAATTAAACAATATATATATATATATACGAGCGGCCTGAAAATGACGAGCGGGTGGTCGAGGACAAACAAATGATTTTTTTTTTGGGGGGGGGCCTTATAGACTGCAACCATAAACTGGCTTTTCACCTCTTCCCAGAACTCAACCTTCTCTTTAAAATACTTACATGCAGTAAACCCAAACTTCCAAATTCTACGCAATTTTACATTTTCAATAGTGTTGGAAGTCCATTTATTTATTATTCTATTTTCTTATATAATTCCACTATGTAAAAACGACTTATATCCGTGTTTCCATATGAATATGTCATTGTAAATTTGCTACTGTGTATTATCTATTTGTGTATATTATTTTCTATTGTATATTGTTCATGTGCCAATGTAATGCCAACAACTGAATTTCCAAATGGACCAATAAAATTAATCTGATCTGAATCTGAATCTGAATCCACTAGACCTATATAATAAGTTTCGTGAACAACCGATCTATTTAACAGAAAAGAGCATTTCGATTTGTGAGGCATTCCGACCAGTTATCACTGTGACCAGCAAGAAACGACCAGTCTCATGTGTTTTGGGCCGTTTCGACCTTCGATAGAATCTCATATATAATTACCGACAATATCAATGGTTGAATTATAGGAGGTACCTGCAAGTCTAACATGTCTAAGATGGCGGGGTTGCACAATTAGTTAGCAAGTTTTACTTGGAATAGGAACTTAGGTTTAGGTAGTTCATTTGGTATTTTGAAGTAGTCAGATTTTAAACTACATTTTTTTATAGAGTACAGACAAATCTTGAAATTTTCTTTATTTTTTTCTATTTCACAAGCATCGAAAAGACTAAAAATTAAAATATTTTGTGCAAGGACAGAATCAGTACATGTTATAGAATCAAATAGTAGGCTGTAAGGATCTTTCACTTTAATAATACACAGGAGAATTAAGGTCATCGACACCTTCCTATATACCACCAAGGTTGGATCTTGTCACCTGAGTTCTCTAAATTGATTTTAAACAGATATCTGTGCGTCTGTTCTTCTTGATTGGCAACAAGAGAGAGAGACTGGATAGAGAGAGAGAGAGAGAGCAAGAGAGAGAGTCCGGCGCCCCCGTTGGGTCGTAATCGGGGCTAGTTCAAGGCGACCAGCGAGCATAATAGGGGAGTCAGCCCTTTCACCCACCCTGTGACATAATTATCAGTGAATCAAAGAAAAGAATGAGGAGGGCACTGATTCTCCCGTCCTCTAAGAGCGCGGAGGGTCCTCTGGGGACACTTGCTTGTAAGTTGGGGCGCTTCGGGGTTCCACCTCTTCTATTTGAGAGCGCACCCACGTCCACCGGGGAGTCCGACCACCCCCCGGGGCTGACCCTTCCACGGACAATTCCACTCGGTTTGGCCCAGCAAACGGGCTCGTCATAATACTAAGGGACTCCCTTGGGCAATAATTGCCTATCCGAGGGCACGGCCTGCTACCGGTTTATAGAAGCTATCCAGCATCAGTCTTCTCCTTCTTCTTCTCCTTTTTCTTCTGTTTGTTCTTCCTCTTCTCTCTCTTTTGAGTGTACTTAATATAATTTTTATGAAAGATTGAATTTCAAGGGAGATGTGACAAGCTACTAAGCATCTGGCCGATTTATAGTTTTGATCTCCACCACACCAACTCAATGCGACCTCACCCTACTTACTCGCTTCTAGCCGAAGATGGCATGATCCTTGAATTAGGACTAGTGTCCCTTTATAATTAGGACCAGAGCCATGGCTCTGATTAGGACGCCCGGCGTAAATAGGGCTGGTGAGCGTAACGGTCATGTATCAGCGCCATTTTCGACGGCGTGAATCAAGGGGAGGGAATATAAAGCACCCCAGGTAAAAAAAAAAAAAACACAGTTGAAACCAGTTGGATTTTCAACTGGTATCAACTGGAATCAAATGGTACCAGTTGATTCCAGTTGACGGAACTGGGATATGTGCCAGTTTATTCTACCGGTTTCAACTGGATTCAACTGGTACCAGTTGAAACCAGTTGATACAGGCAACTGGTAAACTTCACATGCACCAGTATCCCAGTATCCTCTAATGGCATGCTGAAAACAACCAGTTGATTCCTGTTGAAACCAATTAACCATTCTGGTAGTAAATTGTTACACCAGTTGATACCAGTTCAAAACAAAAGGCCTTACTGGTACATCTGCCAGTTGATTCCAGTTTAAAACCCATAAAACCTGAGTGGACCATTTGAGACTAGTTGTTTGCAGTAGATACCAGTTGAAAACCAGTAGATGATTACCAGTTGAAAAACCAATAGATTTACCAGTTGAATTGCCAGTTGAAATCAGTAGATGATTACCAGTTGAAAACCAGTAGATGATTACCAGTTGAT